GCTACGATGGAATTCATAGAAGTCAACAAATTTGTTTCGGATATGTACCACTGATCAGCCTTAACAGTTTTTTTGTACTATTTGTCGTTATTGGTTCAACTTAAATTTAGTTACCGATTCAACGGAAGAAAAAAAAAATTTAGTTACCAAGCTTAACATTGTACTGTGATTGAAAAGTCGTCACAACACCAAAATGGGATTATAATTTTGATCTTATCTCTTGAGAATAAAATCAATATGCTTACAAATATTAACCACTCGCACAATATTCATAAAATAGTGTTTTACTCTCGAGGACGAATATCGAAATGCTTACAAGTTTGTAGTTCAAGAATATCATTTTTTTTACAAAAGATAATCTTGTATCGATTAAAAAAGAGATTAAAACCTCACCAGCTTTAATATAGATCATGTTCATGAATTAACGAAAATGTGTCAAATCTCTATTTACCTCTACTATTTCTGGTACAAGCAAAAATATCATACATAAAACCAAAGAAACATATAGAATGGTTAATCGCATAAAATAGACTAAATTTTCTCTAAACCTTCCTTCATTCCTTTCGTAGATAACGACAAATTGAATGGATCCTTGTTCATTTTGGTTCTACATTTTATTTAACTTGTCCAACCCCAAAAGTCTAGACTTGAACAAAGAGAGTAGGCGAACGAAAATATAAGAGCAACAAGTAAATGATGAAATGAAACACGCACGCCCAAATGAGGCTAATGTATTATTTTTGCGTGTATAGTATGGGAACCAAGACAGCAAAGAAATGTGTTTTTTTCCGTCTAGGTTCAGCTTGCGCCATCGCCCGACGCACAAAACAAGAGGCACCTCTGCTAGCTGCTTGTTTCTTCCTAACTTCCCATCCTATTAGTATGATCTTGAGCTGTTACGCATGATCAGCTTGACGGATTGAGTTTCAATAAACTAATGGACTTTGCTATGGTGACATGCATGTCACCATATGTACTTGTCGGTCGACCTAATATAGGATTAGGTCGACCTAATTTGTTGTTTGAGAGAGTGGAGAGGTGTAGGAACTCCATGAGTTTAGCTTGTGTTTTTTGTTGTTATGTGGTTTTCGATTTCATGAAGTGCGTTTTATGTGAACAATTATGAAGTGTTTTTTATTATATTTCTTGTTAGTGTGTTACGTTGTTATGTTAAGAAGTTATGGGTCCTTGCTATCATTATATAAGACTGATTCCAATGACTATCAAACGTAATTTGAACGATCAAACGAACCACCCACATCGACATACATACGCAAAAATGTCGAAGGTCATAGGCTAAATTTCCTTAATTCGGTCGACTTCTTACTGTAGACGGTCGACCTCGAGACCAACACTCGATCTTCATTTCACGTCAATAAGGGATGGATAAATGGATAGAGCATTTTACTCTTATGTCTGGTCGAACTCTTTCTGTAAATGGTCGACCATTTTGGTAATGACCACAATAAAGTGGTCGACCTCATTAACTTTACGGTCGACCAGTTTGCTTCGGACTACAATGAAAAGGGCGACCCATGTTTTATTGTGGCCGACCGGTAATGTCACAACTTAACTCAAAACGGTCGACCACTATATTTTAAAGGTCGTCTGTGATAAGTCATCATATTGCCCACATTAGTGTATTCGGTCGACCGCGGTTAGAAATAGGTCGACCGGAAAGTGCATATTACGGTGACATGCATGTCAACTAGGGATGGCAATCAAAACCATGGTCGTGGGTATCCGACCGCCCCCGACCCAGTCAACGCGGGTAATCCCCGCTTTGACCGGGTATGGGTAAAACCCGCAAAAAGTTTGATGGGTATGGGGCGGGTATGGTTTTAGCCTCCCCCGCCCCATACCCATACCCATATCCGCCCCACCAAGAGAATTTCTTCACATATACAAAAATATGTGGATCAAATTGTAATCTATCAATGATGACGAGGATAACTCGAGAAAATAAATAGTAGAAATGCAATTGAGTGACCACCTTAATCAAAACCTAATTCATTTCCACCAATTCTCTTTTCACTCTTTCACTTTCCCCCTTGTCAACAAGATTATGTTAGTTAATTATTTCTTAGTATATGTATAAGAGTTAGAACATAATAATTTGAAAAATATTATACTCTATATTATGTATTAACGAATGTTTTAGGATCATATTCTTTGAACCGTACTAAGAAAATGATCGTGTTTTGTTGAATTCGTGATATAATAGGTACGTTTAGAGTTCTAGTTAAAACTTTTCTTGTAAATTTTAGGATAATAATGTTTGATATACGGGTACGGGTATTACCATGGGTATCCGAAACCCACGGGTATGGGAATAGATTTGCCAAACATTCCCCCGCTTAGGTATGGGGCGGGTATGGGTTTGGATATTTGAAGATGGGGATGGGGATGGTTTAGACAAACCTGCCCCAAACCCGCCCCATTGCCATCCTCACCATAGGCGCACCCTAAACAAATTTATTTTCACCCCTAAAAATAACGATAAGTAAATTACTAAATAACTGATTTATTATTTTTTTGTAATAAAATATAGAGCAAAAGTACATATCTATTGAAAATGAGTTAATATCATTTTGTATCTAACTACTTTTGTAAATTAACAAACGTACACTCTACGGAATTTTTGCACGAACATACTCTTCTAATATTGAAAGGTAACGAATTAACGCTTTCATCTAATTATTTGTTAAGTGGCCATTAAATTAGATGGAAAATGACCAAATTACCCTTTGTTTACCCCTAAACAGTCCTATCATGAGTTTTATTTATTTTATTTCCCTAGCTCAAGTAATTATTATTTTATTTACTTTTCTATGAGATAAAGAGAACTCTGGCACCTCAAAGCCCCGACCCCCTAAAAAGAGAACTCTGGCACCACCACTAACAAGATAGGCGGTGTCAGCATGTACTAAGCCACCACCCTTCAAGACGAAGAGTGCATAAAAAACACAACAAATACAAAACGATTAAAATAACGACCTAAGCCTTTTCTTGATAACCTAGAATGTCCCCGACAACAACGCCAAAAACTTGACTCGCTCTTACTACAACTTTCCAATAGAAGGCCAAGTATAACCAACGATCGGGTGTAGCATATGGTAAGCAAGTAATAAAAATATCAAACCATTGGTCTCTAGATGTACCTTGATTCGACTTACGTTTCATTATCTTGCCAACATAGAATAGTGATTAAGAAACTAAGCTAACCAATCTAACCTAACCACTATACTAGTTAATTACATGCTTGAGAGCTCTCTTAGCTTGAATCACTCTAGTTCTGTGACTTGGATAGATGTTGATCACTATCCTAGATTGCTTGACTCGATATCTCTACCGCGAGGAATACTAGACTAGTTTGGACCCCCTATTCGAGTACATCCAACCCAGTCCAATTGCGCTACCCGGAGTGGCATACCGAACAATGGCGAAGTCAATTAGGGTGTTAATCGCTAATTCCCCATGATTGGGCAAACTCTACTTGGCACTACCCAAAATGACTCTGTGGACCTTATTGCCTTCGCCATCAAAGACTCATAGTGAAGGATTGAAGGTGCTCTATTCCACTAGAGGGATATAATCCAAATCCTATATCATTAGGAGATCAATCGAATTCACTCCCTCGGAGATTAACCCAAAATGACATAGATCGAGGAGTGACCCTAATTGCCAAGAATGGGTCAAAAGGGATTTTCTCCCTCCTAGGTCAAAGCTCAAATGTCATGAAATGGAATCAACACTAATGCAATTTATAATAAGCATCGATCATATATATAATATGAGTAATCAACATAAGATTTTTCGCATACATCAACATCAAACCAAAATTTAGAACTAGGGTTCATCAACCTAAGAGAAGAGGTCTAGTTCATAGAGAGGATAAATATTACAATACAAGGCTCAAATTCTTCCATCCTTTTCTTCTAGGGGATGATCTTCAAGCTCCAATGGTGATTGACACCTCCAAATCAGCTTCAAGAACCCTCATAGACCTATATCTCTAGAAACGCCTCTTGGGGGTTTTGGGTCGAAAGCCTAAGGAAAAAACAAGCTCCTCCCTAAACCAAAATCTCCTGCCTTTTTATACTGCTCGAGTGCCCAGATTATGGGTCAAATATCATGACCGTTATCTCAAGACCCAGGCCATGATCTCGACCCAAAGTGTCACATTTCGTGTCCAAGATCACGTTCTCCATGTAAAGATCACAGTATGAGACCATGATCTAAGACCTGCCCCCGAAATGGCTCAAGTCTCTTGGAATCTTGCGAAGATAACACTCTGCTTGCAATGTTCACAGCCTGAGGCCGTGATCTTCACCTCCAGCTGGTGATATTTGCCTCTTCACTACTCTTTGGCTCGTTGACTTCCAATTGTCCCGAAACTCATCTCCGACCTTCCCACTCGATTATCACTTTGTCCATCACCTTGTCAATGCTAAACAACTTGTTGTTCGTCATGTACCGACTACTTCTCAACTAGCCAATTTACTCACCAAAGCGCTTCCTGTTGTTACTTGGTTTCGTTTACTTAGCCGCAAGATTGGTCTTGTTGATGTCGCCTACATCGAGGGCGTATTAGGGAGAAATCTTAGTCCATATCACACTCGTATTTCTTGTACTTAGTTGTCTCCTATTCCTTATCATACTCATATTTCTATACTTGTATGATTTATCTCCAGTATGTAATTGGGTATAAATACCACTAACCACGTAATGCAATATACGGTTGAAATACCTTACACTATGTTCACTTAAAATGGTTAGGCACTTCTTAAATACCACTTAGACGTGCTAGACAATAGATAGAATCACAACGCCTGCCTAACATTTTTTTGAACCTTGATTGTCACCGTAGTCCTTTCCATAGACTATGGGTGTGATTGTCAACAAATATTCCAACAACAAATAATAATGTTGCCCAAATTGTGGGACCGTTCTGATCAATAATGGAAAAGGAGAATAATTTAGTTGGGTTACCCGGCCAGTAAAGCCCCAATATAAAATTGATAAGATCGACGGATCCATGTGATCGAGGAAGGGCCAAGAATTAGAAACGGCCGCAGCCCGCACCCACCGCCACCGAGTCCAATCCAATCTGCAATCAAACCCGCCCCGAGCCCGACGACAACCGCCGAGTGGGCATCTTTTCCTGGTTTGCTAATCGCTACTACCAGTCCTCCTCCTAACGCAAACAAATATAGTAATAGCAAGCTCCCCTTTTTTTTTTTTTTGTTTCAGATGGATTCTTCTCCGCCGGAGAAGAGACAAACCAAGAAATCCCCTTTTTGGTGAGAGAGAAGACAGAAATCCTTTGACGGGGAGAGACCCAGTTGAAACTAGAAGAATGGCCGGCGAGAGGAAAAGGATACTGGTCGGTTTGATAGTGGCAATGCTTTTGGGAACTGCCGTTTACTTTAGGCTTTGGACCATTGACTACGCGATTTCCTCCGAGGACACTGAGCTCATAAGGTTTTTTATTTTCTCCATTGATTCCCCCTTCTAAAAATTTGGTTGCTTGTACTGTTCGCCTGCTCTTCCATTTGCATTTACAGTGGTTGATTTCTGTTGGCTTCCGAGTTTTCGTTTCGGAAGAGAGTCAAAATTCCCATTAATGTCTCTGCATGTTTGGGCAGCGGTTCAGATTCAATCCAATGAGTTGATAATAGAAGCTATCCGTTTTCAGTCCGTTTTACTGGGTGTCCTCTTTAATCCTTTGGTGACCAGATATTGCGCCCAAAATCCTAAATTTAGCTTGTCTTGTGAAAACCTTCAGAGGTTAGATCTGAAATCAGTTCGCCTGTGAGCTCAAGTGCAGGCTTATTGACCTTCATTTGATCGATTATAGTTTCCAAGTCTGTATAGGTAGCACATTGTTTGCGGTGAGAGAAGCCTACTGATTTCTGATCAGCATTTTCCATCAGGACCTCTTCTTCTCTGTGTCTTTGTTGGTGGATTAAACTGCTATGTGGGTAGCATTTATATGCAGTGGCTCGTTCCTGTTTATGATGACTTGATTGCTTTGCTTGATAACATTGGGATTCTACAGAAGACAATTCGATCTGGCCAATAGAGAAGCCATGGACGAATCTGCTGAGTGGAGGATGAAGTATGATGAAGAGGCAGAGAGGGCAGCCAAGTGTGACAAGGAATTGATAGAGGTTCCCTTCATAACCTGAATCTTTTAATATTTACTTAAAGTTGGTGTTTTTTATGGTGGTTAGGATGTCCTCTTCTTATTTTGCTTGCTATATGAAGAAGAGAAGTTTGATTCATGTAGTGGTTGGGTAGAAGATTGTGACGAGAAGGTCACATTTGCTGTTTTATGTTGTGCTTTTGTCACAATCAATTGTGAGTTTGCCCCAGCTAAATCTGGAAGGGGCGAAGGGCTGAAACTTGAAGCATTCGTGTTCACTGAATATTTGTTTGTGCATCTTATGCCAGATCAAGCAGAAGGTGGACGATGCAGCTAGTGTAAACCAGCAGCTGGCAGTGCTACAGAAGGTGAGCTTGAAAAATGAATTTGGAGATCACTTCTGAATGGTTGCTTTGAAGTTAAATAACCTGGATTACTTAAGATATATAGTTCAACAGTATATAGGGAAGGAAACATTTCTTATTTACATCTAACATGAACTACTCTTCATGACGTCTTCCTCAATAGCTTGAGTTTCTGGTTGTTTAATGTCTGAATCGGTGAATTCTCTATGTGGTTTGACTTCTCTGTTCCTTTACAGGAAAACATGGCCTTGATTGAACGTATGGAATTACTGAAAAAGGAGCTGGCCGCAAGCAAATCAAAATGTGGTCGCTCGAGATACACAAGACTATAGTCACAAATGGTCATAGCAGCGCTTTTAGCATGACAATGTTGTGTAATTACTTTGCTAAAATCGAGCTCTTTGTGAATGAGTAGTAGTTCTTGGGGATACGGCTTACATGGTACTAAACTGGCCAGCGGAGAGAGATGTAAATGGGCAATCGGAACAATCTTTGTTCTTTGTATTTTGTGGGATGTTTCCCCCCCTTTCCCCATCTATAAGATCTACCTCAACGAAACAGAAGATTTGGTCCATTTTGCATACATTTATGTTGCCCTATTCTACTCCAGAGAATGTAAATCAGTTCTCGAGTAAATTCTGTTTACTTGGGTGGCTCTGCGTGGAGAACACTTATGATAGTCATTCCCCTAGGTGGAATTTTTGCTGTTTGTCTGTGTAAGGAACCAAGGTTTGCTGCAAAACGAAACTGATATATATTTTTTCCATTGTCGCTGATAGATGAGTGAATTCATTTACATTATCCATGTTATGTTATCTCCATGCCTGCGCTTGCAAATAACAGCGGGCAGTGGATTAGAGCAAGCTAGCGCTGGATGAGGAGTCTGTTTCAACTGCAGATTCCGCGCTGAATTCATGGAGAAACTTGGTTATGGACTCCACGAACACTTCACCGTCGTTGGCCGCAGCTTCATAAGAAGGAAGATGCGCAGCAGAGTCCTTACTTGCTTTGGAACCCTGTATACACAAAACCAGGCATGCATTCATCACATGGAAAGGAAGGCAGCTCAGTAGTCAGTTCTGAAAGGTAGAGGTGAATGAAACGAAAGGGACAGAGGCTCACAGATGTTAGTCTACGTCGCTTAGGAGGCCTGGATCGGGTGGTCATCATCTCAACCAGCACGTCAAACCGAAAAGGAAAACACAGGGGAGCCACCCACTTTCAGTTTCTTGTTACCGAAGCAAAGTAAAAAAAAAAAAAAAAAAACTGAGGGAGAAGAGAAAGAAGCTCTTAAAGGTTTTCTGGGATGGACATCAACTTACTTGATTTACAATCTGCTCGTACTTCCTTGCACATTGATATAGTCTTCTCTCGTCATCGTCTATTCTCGACATCGTAAAATTTTCTTCTGAATCCGTAGTGTAGCCTCAGGATTGAAGGCCTTTAGTTCAATTTATAGGTAGGGGAAAGGGTGTGGGATGAACATGAAAAGATGGAAAAGGAGGAAGGCAAGAGATTGGTAATGGCTTCAAGAAATCTCTATGATACCAGATTGGCGGTTACCCAACTGCCATCCAAACCGACCATGGAGAAACAAGACAGACCGTTATGTTTGAATAAGGGGTTTGTCCAGTCTTCATGCAGAAGCAGGCAAATAAGCATAATCCTTGTGACCACAAACTATTTTCTAAGTCAAGATTTGGTCTTCCCATATCTTCTTTCTTTTGGCAATCAAAGTTGGCCGAATATGAGCAATTGTGGAAATGTGCCCAAGATAAGTTATGCTTTCCAGCATTGTTCTTAGGAATATGGCAGCCCTGCGTTTCTACTTTCTCCATACTCGTACAATGTAAGGTAATTGATCAGATTGGGTCAAAGATGGCCGTCAAGAACGAGTTAGCAGTTTTGACTGCATTGAAGTTGGCATTCTGCAAACAAAATTCGCCCTTCTTTTACACCCATCCATATCTAGAAGGATTCAAATTCCCAACTTCAGCACAAGGCCGATGCTTCTGGGTAAGAAGCATGACTATTCTGACAGCTTCCAAATCATCATTCTGCTCACAGTGTCTTTTCGCGTGGTATTTCACTCCAGCTCTGTGAAAAGGACTGCCGATTCAATAACTAATCAATAACGAATACCGACATTGTTCATCACAAGTCAGAGACCCTTTGAAATTGCTCACACGAAAATCATTTGAAAGTGAGGAACACATGCTGCAGGCAAAAATCTGAAACTTTCAAACAAATATGGTAACAAGATATATTCATAAATTCCCGAATCAAGGGGTTTCCTTTCCAACAGTAAGAGAACCGGAAGTAAGGTCGATCTATCTATACATCAAGCACAATCAAATATCCATGGAGTCTTACCTTCTTCAATTCACATTTCAAGATCCTACTTTCTCTAGCCCAGAAATTCCTACTGGGAATTCGCTAACGACCAGAAATTCATGAGGAAGGATGGCATCGTTGCAAACCAGCTCAAAAACGCCATAGAGATTGCTGTTTCAAACTTGACGCAGTGGTTCACCGAGCACCTATTCAGGTCGTTACCTATGAGCACTGTGATGCCAGCAGATGCACAAGCAGCAGCAAATGTAAGGGTGGACATTATCTGTTCAGGAAGAAGATACACCACCAATCATTCCATAGCAATTGAATGCAAATTCAAAATTAGTCACACTCAACTGCATCCAACAATGTTAAACACACAGCTAGGAGCATATTCAAACATCTAAAATAATTAAACCGCGGGCCTTCTTAAACCAAGTACCAACATACTAGACCTATAAAGAAACAATCCACATGAAGTTCAAGCAACGCAAGATAGCTCATGAACTGCGAGTCATCCTCTCCTAACATGGATGGCAGGACAGCTGACAGTTGCAAACAAGGTTGAACCATAAACTATAGAGTTTCATGTATGGCTCCTTCACACTTCATTTGAGTTCGATAGGAAAAGGTCAGCACGCAATTCAGGCTCCATAAAATGGAAAGAAAATAAGCATAACCACCTTTGATATCGGTCCCAGAAAAAAGCCCAAAACATAGAAGAAAGTGACCATCAAATATTAATCAACGCCAACATTTCAACAACACATTGGAACCCAAGTAGCAGGGGAAGTAAAGTAGTGAGGATTAGATGTCAATTTAAGAAATGATGAAAGCTTGGAATGGAAAGAAATGAGTCGTTACCCCATCTCCAATGGCGAAGAACCGAATCATCACTGGTTTCCCGAGGCTTCTTTTAACCATAATCGCATACACATCCACAATCCCCAGTAGCAAGCTCCATAGTATTTGCAAGCTCACAGCAATAACTAAGTAACTGCAGCAGCAGCAGCAGCCACGGAAAGAAAACACAATTTCAGTTCCTCGCCCCAAAAATTCCAAATTCGCCCACAAACAAAAACATGGAAATCAATACAATGGCAGAGTCGAACCGAGGTACCAGAAGGCGGTGACGGAGCGGAAGTCGCTGGTAGTGGCCATGAAGGAGACGGAAACGACGCCGAAGGCCACCTGGAGTGAGCGGAGAGTGAGGCCGCCTCTCGTCCCCGGCATGCCCTGAACCTGCTTCATCCTCACCCTCGGTTGGTACTGGTGCTGGTTGGCCACATCTCTCGCCGGCGGCGGCTCCACCGGGTGCACCGTCGGCCGGCTCATGTTTATCTTCTCCAGCTACGATTCACCGGTCATTCGCCGTTTCTGCGTTGGTGGAATAGAAAGAAAAAAAAAGGGAACTGGACTGAAATTCTTCTGATCCCTCCCTCCGCCGATTCTACTGATGCGAGTCGAGTCGGTATTAATTAATTAATCTAATTTAATTGGAGTCCCTTTCTCCGCTTCGTCACTCCTTTTGCCTGACGTGGACTACCACGTCAGCTACTAGCTTCCCCAAGTCAACGCCCAGCTGTCCGTTTGGACTATTACAATATCTGGGCCAAATCACTCAGATATAACTGGGCTGCGGCCCAGGAGAATGGTTTGCGGGCCTAATATTATGTAATTATCCATATGCTCTACGCGCTGCCACGTGTCTTTTATTCTTTCTGTCCTTGTCGGATTGGTAGAGGCGGTGGACTGTTCGTTTTTATATATCACGCGACTTCCGTGATACAACGAAATCGAGATTGGGGGCTAGGGTTCTGCTAGAAATTGGAATTTTTGCCGTTGATCGTTGGCGTGCAATCAATCGATCAATCGAGGTCGGAAGTTAGCTGCAAAGAAGAAGATGTTGGAGGTGGTGCTGAACGACAGGCTGGGGAAGAAGGTGAGGGTGAAGTGCAACGAGGATGACACCATCGGTGACCTGAAGAAGCTGGTGGCGGCGCAGACTGGAACCAAGGCGGAGAAGATAAGGATCCAAAAGTGGTACACCATCTACAAGGACCATATCACTCTCGCCGACTATGAGATTCACGACGGCATGGGCCTCGAGCTCTACTACAACTAATAAGGTCCTTTTTTCTTCTTCTTTCCTTTCTTTGTTCTTCCCTAGGTCTTGTTTTCTCTGTAATTCTTAGTTCTGGTTTGGTTAGCCTGCTTTGCTTGGACGTAATATTTTCGTGAAATTCTGGACTAGTACACGGGAACGGCTTGGTGATGTTTGTGAGTTTTGGTCCCACTAGAGCTTTGTTTGGTTCTTATGTGGAGCTTTTGATAGCTGAATTCCCCTTTGTTATGGTGTTTGGTTTGAAAATTGGTGGATCAGCAGGGTGCTGTGTTTCAGTTTCATCCCACCAATTCCTTTTTATTTGGGTAATAGCTCTAGTTCCTGTTTAGTGAATTGGGCTATATGCTTGATTTTGGTCGTTGGTGGTGATCCATGACGCCGGAGGGTTGAAATAAACCAAGCAATATTCCAAGTATCTGGAAATATGGCCATACATTTGTGTTCTGTATATTACTCTCTTATTATCACCAGTTTAAAGGATGTTATGTTACAGAGCTTATGGTTCTCTTGAAGAGTTCTCGTTTCCTTGTTACTAGGTCAGTGTATTCCACACATTGTAACCATTCTGATTTGGTACGGATTTCCGAACTGGGGTCTTTTGGGTCGTTTATCAAGCACAGATCTTGGATGGATCCCCCACTATTTGTTACATTAGATTGCTTAGCTAGCCATAGAGGGATAGGAAGGAGGAAGGATTTTCCTTTAGAGATGATATAATGCTTTGCAATATTAGCTTCATTTGATTGTTCCACCTTATTTGCAGTGTCTTTATACTGAGATGATTAAGGAATCGTAGGTCCCTTGGTTCTGCCTCTGGATGCTACTGCCTACTTGTTCTTGATGTGAGCATTTGTGTGGGCTTTTTTGCTCCTCTTCCCTTCGGTTTAGGCCTGCTAGGATTGATGCATTTGATTTTGAGGCTAAGTGCTTTACCAGTGTTTGCTATTTGGTGTTGGGTTTAATTAACGTCTTTCGTATGAAGAGACAGACGATTCTAACGGAGACAGACGATTCTAACAGAAATAATGTTTGCAGGTGCTGGGTACCTCTGGTATGCTGATGAAGGTGCGTATGTGATCTTCGTGGGATGTTGGTGATGATGGTTCGGAATTGTGTTTTCCCATTTGAGCAAAACTTGGCCTGCAAACACGTTGTGTACTCCATATGATACTGTCAGGGATATATGCTTTATAATGCATTTGAGCAGCTACCTTATATTATCATTGCTCTCGCCTGTATTTGTTTGAACTAGTTAATTAAGAACATCTTGTTGTCCTACGTTTGACGCTAACTAGAAATGGGTGTAGTTTCGTGGCGTTTGCTTCTAGTGCTCCTCGTTTTACGGCGTTTAGTTTCGTTGTTGGATTGGGCGGAAGGTATCATATGATCGCTTAGTTCAAAGCTCATTGTCTGAGGAAGCTCGTTCAAAGCTCATTGTCTCAGGAATGATTGCTTAGTTCCTCTCAATTTGTACTCTAAAGCAATGGATCAATGGCTCTTGCATCATCTCTATCATTGTCTTTGAAATACATTCTTGCATCATCTCTAGCATTGTCTTCGAAATACATTCCAGGGGTACGGTGTCCTTATTTACTAAAAGGAATCCTAAGATCATTCATCTACCTATAATTAGTCTTAAGGCACTCAAATCCAGCATAGCTCTAAAACTCATACCTAGTTCTAACACTCTAAGTTGTAGGCTAGTAGAGAAGAGTTGGAGAAACAAGCCCCAACATAATCAAACATAAATGAAACATATAATCATTGAAACAAACAAATCCATACACAATCACATATCCATACACAAACACTAACACAATCACATCTATATTCAAAACCTAATTCTAGGATTGGGGGTTTTAGGTACCTTGGGGGACTACTCCATAAAGGAGGATAGAAGAAAAAACCCCATAAAATCCAAATTTGAATTTTCCTCCCATAAAATCTGATATACCAAAAAGTTACAAATGAGTATCGTAACCATGATTTTGATTTACATGCATATCAAATTCATGATTTTAAATAGATTCATTGCAAATAGATGCATTTGAAATACACATATCCAAATATACCTCAATAGAATAATTAAAATGTTTGAAATACGAACGAAAACCTACAATTTATTTATATTATAAAGACATATGTGACAATTCACTAGCGTAGAATAGGAGTGGGTATTAGTGTGTATTCGATTGGGATGACAAATGGGTAGGCTGAGGCGGGTATCTTAATACCCATACTCGCTCCGCATCAAGCGCGGGTCAGGTCGGGTAACACCCTTGTCGGTACAAGCAGAGTAGGTAAACACAATCTCACATGTTGTTTGAAGAAATAAGCGCAAAATGATAAATATTTTATGATAAAGCAAGGAAAACACTTCATGAATAAAAATTAGTAATAATAGAATGAGAATTGAGTCTAAATAATTGAAAGTTGACACCTGTATTACGTTTCATTGGTGAACGGTGAACCTATTATTAAAATAGGAGAAAAATATATAAATATTGAAGAAAATTGAGATATGGCAGGTCAAGAACGAGGCATGACGGGGTGAGGCAAGTCGAAAGTAATAACTCATGTTCCGTCCCACGCTACTACGAATCGGATAATACCCGCCCCAATAAAGGTAAAGTCGAATAATACCCGACGGGGTGGGTTCAAATTGGTGGATCGCATTGCACTTCACTAAACCATACTTGAAATTGAGGTAAAAGGCACCACCAAACTTGTGACCCAAGTTTGGCCACAATATCGAGCATCTTCCCCATTGTCTAGTATGATACAGTTTCAGGTGTAAACCAGACCCGTCTATTAACCGGCCCAGGCAGCCTTGACCCGCCGACAGGCCAGGCCGAGCTTGGGTACCACCGTAGCCCCGCCCCACCCTACTTCTCTTTCCCTACAACTAATAGGACGTCGACGATCGATTCATCTCCTATCCCCTATTCCCTAATCCCTCCAACACATTCATCAATCATAATGCCATGCACCTTCCCAAGTCGAGCGATTCATCTTCTATGCCTATTGAAACGAAGAGAGACTCATTCATTACGAATGCTTACCTTTTCCAAGAAAATGTATCTCGTAAATCCAATGCTCACTAGTCTCCTACTCTTAATCCCTTAGGGTTCCTACTTAGAATGTATAAATAGACAGTTTATTCTTTTTCTCCATATTCCAGAATTCAGAGAGTTAGAGACCACAATCCAAACCCTATTTCCAGAATCGGTGCTTGCTGATTTCCCCATCTCCTCGACTCGAAAAGAACTCCTTCTGAACTCAAAAAGAACTCTTTCTGGGGCCTGGGTAGGTAATTGATCCCATTTCACAGCGACTTAGATATTTAAATGATTCCATTCGCCTGTACAATAAGCAGATTTACCGTATTAATGTTTTTTTTTTTGCAACACAATCCATGGTTGAACATGGACAAGCCAATGAAGCTCCACCAACTGCAAGCCATGTTGCTGTCTCGAATCCAGCAGCTTCTCCAACTCCAAACGTTGTTGAAGTTTCCCCAGGTGTTCCAAATGCAGATCAAGCCAATCAACCAAATGCAAATAAGATGGTTTAGCCAAATCCAAATGAGGTTGTTGAGCCTGTACAAGAAGAAGGGATGCCAAGGGTGGTAACAATAAAAGTTTCTCTTAATGGTGGGCACATTATGATGGAGTAACAGTTGGGGGAGTGAAAAAGGCCAAGTGCAAATACTGCAAGAGGTTGGTGCTTGGAGAGCCAACACGAGACCAGTCACCTGAAAAAGCACTACCATAGATGCCCTAAGAGGACTTGCACACAATGGCGGATACATGGTGCTTTAGGACACCCCTAAATTTTGGGGACATGATTATCCAATTCTTTGTAGTAGTTTCGTATGGATAAACAAAATATAATTGGTAATATTGGACACCCCTACAATTTTAATAAACGATTATCTTACCATCGATAGTAGTTTGCATATGTTTAAAAAAATATAAGTGGTACTCTGTGTTATTCAAATCTAAGACACTCCTATTATTAAACATCTTCTCTATTAGGGTATAACTTATTTGTCGTTCGATTTTAAACATTATGTAATGGTAAAAACAGGATTTCTTATCCCCAGGGGTGCCCCTAATTTGAATTGATTTTATGGTTACACTACAAGTGTTGAAACAGTCTTTTCAATTTTGAATTATATCATGAACAAGGTTAGAAATTGAATATGCGATATAGTAGGATATACCGATTTGTTGAGCAGTGTAGACGTCAAATCTATCTTATATTTTTTTCGAAATATGAAAACATATCGTGGCTTTTTGTCAACATTTGTACTAATTGGGTATTTTATTATTTACGTATTATTTAATTTAATTATTTAATTATTGATTTAATTTAATTATTGGAAGAAGACACCCCTACAAAAAAATTCTGGATCCGCCACTGCTTGCACAGATTTAAGGCAACAACTCTTGCAAGCCAACTTGGACAAGGACAAAAGGTTCCAACTTTCTCCTTTCAACTTTGAACAAGAGAATTCTCGACAAGAATTTGTAAGGGCAACTATCAAGCATGAATACTCTCTATCAATTGTTGATCATGAAGGGTTTAGAAGCTTATGGAACAACTTGAATCCTTGTTTTAAGATGGTATGCAGAAATACCATCTTAAATATGAGTCACCAAACGTAGGAATTGATTAAAATGTGGAAAATAAAATTCAGTTCATACCTTTTAAGCCACTCCAAATAGAAAGTACGAATCGATTTTTATTTTTACTAATCAAATCGATCTTAATAATCAACTTAGCAAACATTAGCCGTCCAAATTTGCAAATACTAAGCTAAGTACTTCATTGAAGTTGATCACTTAATCTCACATAGGTTACTCATGAGCAAAGCAATGACTTATTATTAACAAAGTCTAATGGAAACTATAATTACCTATATTTATGTGCATGAATGGATGGAGAGAAAAGGGCAAAACCCAGTTATACGGTATACCCCTCTTCACTTCTGCGAAAGGCAAACTTTTTTTGTATTTATCCTTCTGTTTTTTCACTTTCAGTCCTTGGCTTGGCTCCTTCTCTTCTCTCTTTTCTACAACTTTTCTCTAGGAACTGAGCTTTCTCTCTCTTCATCCGTTTCTTCTCTTTAGCAAGCAAAGAAAAAAAAGAATACCATTTTCTTGTTGTTTATTAGGAAAAAGTTTGCTTTCCTTTTTTTGGTCTACGGGGGCTTACTGCTTCAGCTCTCTCTCATAAAGCCGTCCCTGAGATCTACTTGTACGCCACTATAATATCATTTGAGAGATTATTGGAAGTTGAAATCTGAGGAGAGAGAGAGCGAGAGAAGAGGGGGGACAGAGTGGAGCTTACAGAGACGAAGGTAAAACGAAACGGCTCATCATCTTCTAATCTCTCAAACCCTACTCATTCAAGTTTATCCACCATTTTCTTCATCCGTCACTGTTGTAGTACGGATTGTATTATGATTTCCCTGGTGGGTCATTGGTTTAATTCGAGAAAGTTTGGCAATTTGACCTTTGGAAAGTCGCACAAATAGAGGAGGAGCTCTTCTCTTTCTGCTTTTTTCTTCTTCTTCTTGTGATGGATTGCTTCTGATAAATGATAAATCCCAGCTATGGCTGTCTTGTCTAATTCCTTGTGGTTTATGGGTAGGGTTTATCTCTCTGGTAGTTGTTTTCTTTTGGTCAATTTTGTGTCGTCTGAATCTGCTTTCTTGGTTCTTAATTGGTGAGATCTGAGATGGTTTTGACATTCTGGCTGCTTTGTTTTGTTGGTCAATAGGGTTTCTTTCTTATGCTTAGCTGTTGGATTTTATGGCTGCTTGGTTTGGGAATCGTTTTTTGATCTTTTCCTGATTTGTTGGAGTTGATGAAAGGCGCCTTTCAAAGTGAGCTGATTGTTTTACGAGTGTTGTAGAACTTTTTTCTGTTGAGTCAGTTGGTTTTTCTTCTTCTTCTTCGTATAATCAATGTGAATAGAACTTAACTGTAGAATGCCGTGATCTTGTATTTGTATACGGTGGTCTTTCAACTAGTTCTTTCGTTTCTCCGGTGACTCTTACATTGCACTTTGCTGTGGACTAGTTTGAAGTCAAAGCTCATTTCTACTGTCCGCCATTACCTGATCCCCTTATGAGATTAGCTACTTATTTCTTATATTGTTGATTCACATCCTGTACTGAGTGATCTTAAGATCTCTAGTGTATAATCAATATTATGATCCACATCTGTTGGTGCTTTGATTTTTCTGGAAACATCTTCTTTGCTGTCATGTGAAGGTGACTTATTTCTTTATGTTTTTCTTAGTGCATCAGGAATCGATGTTAAAGGGTTGAAAATTTCCTCCTTATCAGTGCCAGAATTTCTCTCAAGTTGGATTGCAACTTTTTGTCATGATCTGGAGATGAACAGAAGATTTCATTCGACATCTTGCTGTGGGAGCATTCAAGTTATTCTAAATAAAACCTTTCGCCTTGTGTCGGATGATCACAGCTAGAGAAAAGAGTTGCTTGATGACATCATCCTACAAATATCAGATGAGGCGATCTCATCAGGGTTATTTTTGGCCTAGTTCAGCTGCAAACATGCTATTGCCTCCTGTATATGTGTGTATATCAAGTATTTGAAGACAGTGAAGTAGTGCTTGGGGTGCACTCTGTAAAGTGCGTTCACCTGGTTAAGTCACAGAAGATTGTTTTTTGAATGATTAGATCGCAAGTGGAGCTTTTCCTTTGACGTGCTAGCGTAATACTATAGCCGTGAGTTGCATTAGTGGCAGAGCTGTTCAATATAATGGAAAGACAGTCGGGGAGTGCTAACCACCTACCAGCTGTTCTTCGGCGGTTACTTCCTGCTGTTGGACCTGGGCTTTTAATTTCAGTAGCATATGTTGACCCTGGGAAGTGGGCAGCCACCGTGGAAGGGGGTTCTCGTTTTGGAGTTGATCTAGTCCTGCCAATGTTCATTTTTAATTTGGCAGGAATATTGTGCCAGTATCTATCAGCTAAAGTGGGTATTATTACTGGTAGAGATCTTGCCCAGGTACAATTTCTATTTATAGTTTCTTTCCCTAGTTTATAATTTTATTAATTTCACTGTCATTTGATTTCACTGTGCGGAGTGATATTGAGATGTGCCTCCTTCCTGTACATTTGATAAACCCTGGCGGTGAACGGGATACATGGTATCAGGATATATACATATTCATGTCTTCTGGACCTTAATAGCTCCTTGTTATCTGGATGATTGGCTATCTCTTCAATTCGATAATTTGTAATACTTGCGCGTACTAAAGTTGAACCTTCTTTTTCCCTTTCCCAATGCTGTAGATTTGCAGTGAGGAGTATAACAAATTCACATGCATGTTCCTAGGAGTTCAAACAGCAATTTCAGTGGCGGCATTGGACCTCAGCATGGTAGTCTTTCTTATTCTTTGTTAAAATGCATGTTGTAGTGCTTCTTCTGAAGATATGACTGTTAAGATAAGGACACTGCTGATTCTTTCCATTTGATTAGTTGAGCTTCGTTCTAATTATTGGATATACTATTTTTTTCCAGATACTTGGCATTGCTCATGGGCTTAATCTTCTTCTTGGGGTGGACTTGCCAACTTGTATCTTCTTAACTGCTGTTGATGCTGTGTTGTTTCCATTTTTTGCTGCCTTTCTGGTGAGTCATGCACAATTTTACCCTGTCATCTTCTGTTGGATATGAATCTGACTTTGTTCTCTACTTTATACTTGTAGGAGAAATACAAGGGATATTTCCCATCCATATTTGTGGCAGGGTTTGTGTTGCTCTTCTATTTTCTTGGGGTCCTCATTAGTCAACCAGAGGTTTCTCTTTCAATGAATGGGATGCCGATGAAGTTAAGTGAGGAAAGTGCATTCGCTCTGATGAGTCTTCTTGGAGCAAGCATTATGCCTCACAACTTCTATATGCATTCTTCCATCGTTCTGGTATTTGTTCCACTCTTTATTTATCTTTTTTTGTGTGTGTGAGTGATGTAATACTACTATGATGTTGCGCTGAATGACGCCCATCTCACCCCGAAAGAAAGCTGCGTTGTTTGCTAAATCAGATTCTGTGGTTATTTTTTCATGAAATCTTGATCCTAGATGTCATGTGATTCTCTCTGCTCACTCATTATCATTTTGATTGCTTCACTGCAAATTTTTATATTATACGTGGTTTACTAACTCTGAAATCTATATTTGAAACTTCTTGCAGCATCATCAGAAATCTCCAAATGTTTCCAAAAGTGCCTCATGCTATGACAATTTTTTCGCAATCTTATGCATCTTCAGTGGCATTTTTCTGGTGAACTATGTGCTTATGAATTCAGCTGCGAACGTGTTCCACAGTACTGGCCTTGTTTTGGTTACCTTTCCGGATGCAATGTCACTCATGGAACAGGTAGAAAACTCTTATTTAATGTATTATCATCATCGTGTATCCAAATGATGATACTTTCAGTGGTGGACTAGTATTATATTTCCGCATGAAGTCGACATGCAATCTGACAGATTATTCTTCAAATGTACTGTGTAGGTGTTTCGCAATCCAGTGGCACCTCTGTTCTTTGTAGTAATTTTATACCTTTCAAATCAAATCTCAGCATTAACTTGGAACATTGGTGGGCAAGTAGTTCTGAATGATTTCCTCAGCCTCGATATACCTAACTGGTTACAGCGAGCTACTACTAGAATTCTTGCCATTGTCCCGGCCCTTTATTGTGTATGGACTTCTGGAGTTGAAGGGGCATACCAATTGCTCATATTTTCTCAGGTTATAGTAGCCCTGCTGCTACCAGCTTCTGTTATACCACTATTCCGAATTGTTTCATCAAGGGCAATAATGGGAGCACACAAAATCTCTCAATTTCTTGAGTTCTTGGCAGTTGTTGCATTCATGGGGATGCTAGGATTGAAGATCATATTTGTGGTGGAAATGATTTTTGGGGATAGTGACTGGATTGGTAATTTGAGATGGAACATGGGTAGCAGTTCTTCTCTTCCTTATGTTGTACTTCTCGCAACTTCTTTTTCATCATTCTGTTTGATGCTTTGGATAGCAGCAACACCTTTGAAATCTGCAACAACTCAGGTAGAGGCTGCTCAAGCATTGAGCTGGGATGCCAAGCAGACTGTGCAGGAGCCATCGATGCGTATTAGAGATGAAAAGTATCTGGGTGGTAGTAGGTATGGAGAAGGCCACGTTCATAGACAGGAAGCTGCTGCACCAACCCCAGTGAAGTCCTTTTTGGGCTACTCAGACAGAAGTGTCTTAAATCCTGATCCCCATCTGCCTGAAACTATTATGGAGTCTCATGAGGATTTTCATTTGACACCTATTGAAGAGAATCAGCCTGATACGAATTTTCCTTGCCCTCTGAAACTGAACCAGGAATCAGCACCTTCAACAGAATTGACATCGGTGTCCAAGGCAGCAGTTAATGTAGTTGTTGCTGCTGATCTTGATTATTTACCTGAGTCAAAGATGAAGGTTGTTGAATCACTTGAACCAGTTGAGAAGACTGTGAGTGTGGAAGGTGATTTCCTCGCAGAAAAAGAGGATGACGAGGGAGATACCTGGGGGGAACCTGAAGATTCATCATCCAAAGGTGTTCCTGGGAGCATCTCATCTTTGACCTCTGATGGTCCAGCTTCTTTCAGAAGTCTCAGTGGAAAATCTGATGACGGTGGGAATGGTGCTGGAAGTCTTTCGAGACTGGCAGGGTTGGGCAGAGCTGCTAGGCGTCAATTAGCTACGGTTCTTGATGAATTCTGGGGGCAGTTGTATGATTTCCATGGTCAAGCAACACAGGATGCCAAGAATAGAAGGATTGATCTGCTACTTGCTGCTGATTCTTCAAAGATTTCATCATTTTCCTTCCTGAAAGTCGACCCTCCCCTTGGAAAAGAATACAGTAGTGGGTATAATCCATCAGCATTGGCCAGTGGTAGAGGATCACCGGATTCTTTCATGAATTCAAGTTTCTGTGATTCTCCCAGGCAGCAGCAGCAGCTTATGATGCAGCAGAACACTCTTGAATGTTCTTCATATGCTGGTGGGGCTCAAAGAGTATCTTCCTCCTCATTATGGCCCAACCGCAGTCAGCTGCTGGATTCATATGTACCAGCACCACCTAACTCAGGTGTGGTGGACCCTTCTGAAAGACGATATTCTAGTATGCGGTCGCTACCACCGTCTTCTGATGGCTGGGACAACCAGCCAGCTACCATACATGGTTATCAGATTGCTTCCATTGCGAACCGGATTGCCAAGGAGAGGAGTGCTAATGGCTTGAATGGTAGAATGGAATCTCTGTCTCCAATTTCTTCATCCATGAGCAGCATGCGGAACTACAGGGATCCACATGCAGCAATTGCCTTGGGTCAGAGATTACAGAATGGATTAAGCTCTCCACAACAGGCAACAACAGGATATCAGAACCTTGCCTCATCCAGAAACAACTCGTTACAGTCTGAAAGGCAATACTATGATGTTGTTGGCTCTCCTGTTTCTGTTGTTGACAATGCAGGAGGACCAACGGGTACTAGTACAAAGAAGTACCACAGTTTGCCCGACATTTCAGGAATTGCCGCCCCTTACAGGGAGCTATATCTATCCGGGAAGAGTAATGCTCAGTGGGACAAGAATTCTGCTGGTGGTTTTGGCTCCTCCTTAGGGGGGAGAACGAGTTATGACCCTTCTTTTTATGGAGATGCTTTCTCCTTTCCCACCACCACTCCACCAAGTACAGGAGGATCTCTTTGGTCAAAACAGCCGTTTGAGCAGTTTGGTGTGGGGGATAAAAGCCGTGCAGTAGGTGTGGGTAGTGCCTTAGGAGGAGGAAGCAACAGGCCTAACTCAACTACCCATCGTGAAGCTAGTAGCTCCATAGTGGATGCTGAAGCTCAACTTCTTCGGTCCTTCAGATGCTGCATTGTAAAGCTGCTGAAATTAGAAGGCTCTGATTGGTTGTTTAGGCAAAACGATGGTGCTGACGAGGACTTGATTGACCGTGTGGCAGCACGGGAGAGGTGTTTGTACGAAGCTGAAGCAAGAGAGATGGGGCAGCATGGGGTGGTCCACCACCTGGGCATTGAGTCTCAAAGCAGTAGTGATAAGAAGCAGCAAGGTGGTGGTTCTGGGCAGAAGAATGACGAGGCCAATAGCATCGCCAACATCTTGGTTTCCTCAGTTCCTCACTGTGGAGAAGGCTGTGTGTGGAAGGTTGATTTGATCGTGAGCTTTGGGGTTTGGTGCATTCACCGGGTTCTTGATCTATCGCTCATGGAAAGCCGGCCTGAGCTTTGGGGGAAATACACTTATGTGCTCAATCGCCTTCAGGTTAGCTCCCCCCCCCCCCCCCCCCCCCCCCCCTCTCTCCGAGACCTTCTTAACACTCTCTGTAGGTAGAAATGCAAACTTGGAGTGTGAATTTATAGGAGCAAAATCATGAATTTACTGAAGTGGTAATGATGTGTCATGTGTGGGTGTGGAGCTACTCAACCATGTGTTCGATCAACTGATATCAACAAAGCAATCCATGTAGGTGTACATTGGATAGTTGACTAACATTTACAGCGTAAAAATACCAATGTTCTAATAGTTGACTAATGTAGCAACAGTCAGCAGAAGCTTAAGGTAACATTAGGAAGAAATATTTGTCTTTTGAAGAGGCCAAAGTTGGAAGTCTTTTCTGAATGAGGGTGACTTTTTATTATTGCGGCATCTAGGTCACTAACATTTATTACTTGTTGTTTCTTAGAAAAAAAAGAACTTCTGGTGATTGGTAGGGTATTAAAGGCAGCAGCAATGTGCTGTTTTTGTTCCTTTCTTTCTGATACAGGGGGTTGTGGAGCCAGCATTCATGAGACCGCGAACTCCCATGCAGCCATGCTTCTGCCTGCAACTCTCAGCAGCGCACCAGCAGAGACTGTCGTCGCCTCAACCAAATGGGATGCTGCCTCCTACGGCGAAACCAGGTAGAGGTGGGAAATGCACGACAGCAGCCATGGTGTTGGACTTGATCAAGGATGTGGAGATCGCCATTTCATGCAGGAAGGGTCGATCAGGGACAGCTGCAGGGGATGTGGCTTTCCCCAAGGGTAAAGAGAACCTGGCATCCGTCCTGAAACGGTACAAGCGGCGGCTGTCCAACAAGCCCGTCGGGAAGTGAAAGAGCAAGTAAGATGGATGATGCAATATGTTAAAATTTGGTGGTGGGGTTAGTTAACTGAAGAGATGCTGATTAAGCGAAGAATGTGAATCGAGGGGGGCATTTTCTGTTACTGGTTTTCTCTCTGATCTCTCACTTGTAACAAAAGGGGGGGAGAAAATATGTTAAAGAGCAGGGAAACGTTGGGTGGGTGCTTGCCCCCTTTATGTTGCATATACATAGGATTTTTACCAACAGACGACAGCTTAACGCTACTTGTTCTACTTCTACTTCTACATCTACTTCTGCTTGGGGATGGATAATGAATGTAAAATAGCAGGCAGCGGCAGGAAAACAAAGTTATGAAAAGATCTGGGTGCAAGCCAAACAAATCATTTCCCAGTTTCTGTTGCTTTTGGCGATTTTCCAATATCTTAATAGGAGTAGTAGTTTGGTGAAGCTGCGAAACATACCCATTTATCTGTTCCTTTAATTTCTTCCTTTTAATAGATTTGGATAATATAAAAAAATATAAAAAAATAGACATTACCCTATATTATTTGCTGGATACAAATTGCTGGATACAAAGTATAAACGTTTGGATGTTTGACACAAATGTTGTATTTGAATTTGAGGATTTTGTCATTTTGTTTTGAATTTATTCTATTTCAGTATGAAATATGAATATAGATTTTAGAGATATTGTATTCAAACTGACACATTAGGGATGGCAAAAATATCCGCAACCGTGGATATCCGCCCGAATCCGACATAATCGGGTAGGGTAAAACACGAACCCGAAAGACTTTTAGTGGGTACGGGTAAAACCCGAACCCGAATATTGCGGGTAATGGGTGGGCATGGTTTTCTCACTATCCAACCTGAACCCGCCCGATTATACACATGCATATGTATTTTGTCTAGAAATAATCAATATTTTTGTCTTACATATTTTATGTTTACCATATAAATATAATATTTTTTGGAATTGTGTTGTTTAATTAATTTTGTTCATTCTAGTGAATAATTGTCGTACTTTTCGTCTTACATAACGTGAAAATAAGTGTGAATATTAATATATTGGTTGAAGTTATAAAGAGAAACCATTACTCATGGATAACCATGGATACCCGAAACCCGAACGGGTATGGGCACGGTTTGAATTTTCTACCCGTTTCTTATGTGGGTATGGGTATGGGTAAAACCCGAACTACTTTGGGTAGGGTAACGGATATGCACTATCCGTCCGCGACCCGACCCATTGCCATCCCTACGACACATCTGTATAAACCGGTCGTGATTCTTGTGACTTACCAAAACCAAATTGGGATGAGCTTCTAACGGAGAGCGTCGTGGAAAGGACGCACGTGTAGTGGCGTGGCGTCGATGTGGGAGGTGGCGACAGAAGTGAAGTGACCAAGTGAGATGAACGAACGAAATGGTGCCGCGCGCGTCTACTCTATCTTCCTGCCACAACAATCCCCATCCTTACATTAAAAAGTAAGCATCTTCATAAACAAATTATTAATTATTACTAAGATAGCTATCCTTTTTCCTTGCCGTACCTGCAAATTCCTAGACCAGATCCGCACATCGTGGCTGTGCCGGTGGTTGTGCTGGTGCTAGCAGCTGGTGGTTACCCCCGCCGTTTTGCCGTCCAACCGCCGCTTCTCTCGTCGGTCGCCGTCGATTCTTCCAAATTTTCTGAATGACCTTTGGATTAGGTGAGTCGGCGTATAACTTCTCTCTATGATCCATCCTTTTAACTATAGTTGGGGCTTTCAATTCAATCAATTATTAGCGTAGTCTGTCTAACCATAAGTTTACTGATGATCTACAAACGCATCTCTTTTCTCCTTCAACAAATCCATCCATCTCTCTCTCTCTCTCTCTGGTCTCGGTTTCTGAGATTTTCATTAAATGGGCTCGACGGCGGCCCATTATTCTGATGAGGGATGGGCCGTGTTGGTATAACTGCAGGTTTTTGTATGCTAAGCAAAGGGCCCAGTTGAAAGTTTGATTAGGAGAAAAAATGGGCTACGTGTTGGTGATATCGGCGCCAATGGTACTGTTGATATTAATAGTGGGGGTGGCGTGTTACCTTTTCGGAAGGTCAAGAGGCCGATCCCAAGCTCAAACCTACGGAGTTCCAGCTCCGCCTCCCTTGCCCAAACCTTGAATCAAAGCTCCTCCTACTCGACACCAAGTTTGTCAAGAAATTTACTTCACTGCCACGGAGGAAAGTGTTACAAGTTGAGATCTCAGGGAATTTTTTCTTTTATCTTGTTCTTTCTTGTATATGTCTGTCTTTCGTCGCAAAAGCTACATTTGATCCAACTCTCTCTAGATACTTTTGAATCATTTAACATTGTGATTTGTTTGTTGAATGCGGTAGGCGTAAATATGTGCAACGTGTGCTTAATTGTTGGAATTGTAAGTAGATTATTATGACGTGTGCATGATACGAACACATTATCACAGCCAATAACTTTTCCTCGTATCTTGTGTGGACTGTGCACAACAATTGTTTGGTAATGAAACAAAGAATATTGAACAAGTTTTGTGTTATTTCTAGGGTGAAATCAATTGGAAAAGGTTAGGTTCTCGGCTAATCTTAATATGCTTTATACCGACTTAATACAGAGAAGAGAGAGAAAGAGCGATAAAGTAGAACTAATCTAGGACTAACTTGTCATAATCAATGTAGTTAAAATCGGACTTTAAAACTTTAAAACTTACGATTTTACGTTTTTAGGTCACTAAAGCGCTTCTACACAAAATCTTAGTTTTTATAACTTATGTAGTTAAAAAACTCCGCTTTAAAACTTAAAAACTTACGATTTTATCTCTGTTTTCAGAACCGGACAGGAGGCTGAACCGGAAAAGTTAGTGGTTTAAGGGTTCACTGGTTAACCGTTACAAAACCGTTGGTAGAACCGTTAATGATATATAACATATAAGGCTTGTATATTACACTAATTTAAGAATGAAATTATCATTGACCATAAACAAGTTCAAATTCATATCATCACGAAAATATCTAATAAATCATTCCAACCATCTCACAAAAGAAACCATATTTTTTAATTCAAATTAAAAATTACGATTCTAGTTGGTAGTAGGCAATGTAAAATCGACAATAAGGTTGAGGAAGCATATATAAAATAAATAATTATGATTTGATGGTCTTAGTTTATGTTAAAATATTTTTTTTCGTTAAAATAGTGAACCAATGGACCAGTTAAACCGTGTCAATTCATCTGATTTTATGTTGAACCGTGAAAAACCATTTGGTCCATCAATAACCGTTCAAACAATGAACCGAACCGCTATCGTAACTGGTTTGACGGTTCTACTGGCCCGGCCGTTGATCCGGTTCGGTTCTTATAACAAGGGATTTTATGCTTCTAGATCGCCAAAACGTTTCTATGTAGAAACTCGCTTTTGACTACATTGATCATAATTACAAAGTAATACCTATACTAACCTAACTAGCTTGTACCTCGTTCATTGGTCGGATGAATTTTCGTTTACTTTATGTTGATCAATTTCTTATTTTTTTAAATAATTTGGGGTCTTCTAAAATAGGTATTATGTATTTCAAATTAATCGTTATCGTATTGGTTGATTATGACTTTAACAGTAATTAAGTTTTAGTTAAAAATGAGTAGAAAATTTACTTGATAAGATTTTAAAAGTTATATTCGGTTTAAAAAATGCGATATATGTCACTCTCTATTTTCATTTTATATCATTTAATTGACAAAAAAATTATTATCTATTTGTGTGTTTGTTTGATTTGTTTATCAAAATGCAACTTATTATTAAGTTAATAAAAATGTATATAAAAATTTATGGGAATAATGCAAGGGGCCGAACGATTGGCTTAATGTGGTGTTCTTTGATATCTTTCATCTGGCAGGAGAGGTGTCGGAGGTGCCATGGAGAGAATCCAAGAAGTGCTGAAGTTGTGAGTGACTTATGTTTGAATGATAGTACGGTTTTCTGTAGGAGTCATTCCAGATTTATTAGATGATTGTGTTAGCCTTGGTTTTGTGTCTTTGTGAATTGAAGGGTGGTAGATGTGGTTAGAACTTTGTGAGTATGAGTGGTTAGTCCTTCTTTAGGGATCTTTCTACTTCGTTGTATCACTTGCCCGTCTTTACTTTAATAAAAGGAAGGGACGCTCCTCACAAAAGTAAAGTGTTGAAGTTGTTTATTTAATGCAACACTTCTAATTAGTGTTGTAAGAAGACCTTTTTCCCCGTTTCCTTAATTCAATCGCGCTCAGCTTTTGGAATGGACGACGGATTCTATGATTACTTGTGATTACCGAACAGATTTTTTTGAGTTATTTAACGAATTAATCGTACACCACTACACTAGTTTTCCATCATATCCAAAGATGTAGCCAGCCCCCAGCCAGCAAAGCAAAATTAGTATATACATATTACATGCTTATTTAGTCAAACTTGACCACTGAGTACTGACAGAAAGGGGTGTGTTATCTCATTCTCGTTTCAAGTCAAGACTACTAGTAGTGGATAAGTTTGGTCAAGGCCAAGTCATTTTAAAAGATACAAAAAAAGTACAATAAATAAATGTTTACGTAAATAGAGTAGAGAGCCGTCCACAATATAATAATAATAATAAATGAAATACGTTAAATTAAAAGAACACGAGGTTTGACCAAGCACTGAGCTCGCGCTACTAGTGTCTTCTTTCTTTTATATGCTTTTTGCAACTCGTTCTTCTTTGGCTTTTGGGTTTGCTCCTTGCGCGTCCTGGTTTTTGGCGTGTAGCAGAAAGCATCCCACTACACTACTCTTCATATTGCGAGGAAGTTGCACCAAAACTTCAGCTGCTGCTACGTACGAAGTCAACTGTTAGATTGATGGAGTTACTAATTGATTTAATTAATTAATTAACTATTATATTCCCATATGCCTACCAGCTCGTCACATGTTGCTTACCAACCACAATCAGCATCTACCCAGATTTTTTTATTATCATTAACTAATTCAGTGATTAGATATTGAAATGTGGCCACATTTGACCTACACCAACTATTTTCGTCCCTCGTTTGACGATTGTTTTTATTTATTGTTAATTTAAAATGTTTATATATTTAGGTTGGTGGAACTTAAATGGGTATAAATCTAACTTGCAACTTGAAGGTGTACAAAAAAGGAACCAGTCACACTGATGAGGATGCATGCCAATTGTGCTGCGCATATGCTTGTAGTCAAAGTGCGAGTTGATCTACCGGTTGGTCCATTTTTACTCCCCCGTCAGATTGACCCGTTGCAAGGTTATCGGGTTGGAGGTTACTCGATGTCATTTTTCACTTTGCTTTGTGAAATTTGCCTCTTTTCGATTTTCCTCCTCTCATATAACCCTTTCTTTGGATTCTAAGTTGAACATTTGAATATTAATGCTATATAAGTGCGTGGGGATTTTCATAACATGTTAGATCCAAGTACGATTTGTTGTTTTAGTGTAATGTTATATGAAATTTGATATAATTTATAAACGTGTGAACTATATTGTGAATTTTTTCATATATCTGTCTAAAGCGAGCTAAAACGGTTGGACCACTAACACTCAGTTCACTTATTCGTCTGGACCGACGGGCTAAACCGGATTGACAACATTAATATACATACCCGCATTTTTTTTAATAAGACACTTGTACTATATGATTAAGACGAAACAAGGAAAACAGCTCTCACTATGAGCGCAATCACAATTAGTATGTGCCATAAAATGTGATGCCTAGTTATTGGCCCGATCCGAGAGATGAACCGAAACCGGGCCAATCAATTCCATCATTTCCTTAATTTCCTCACTCAAATCTCCATCCTCTATCAGCGGCGTCCTATCCTCTCGTGAAATCAGATTTGCTGCTCTCAAGCAATCTGATTCCACTTCTCCGGGCAAAAAACTGGTCTCTCCGCCATCTCCGGCCCAAAACAAATCGCCTGCAGCTCGGCAACCTCCGGTGGCCAATGTTCTCTCAAACGCTTCACTGTCGCGAAAATGAATTTTTTCGTTAACTACTTTCTTAGACTATTCCGTTAGTCAGAATAGGGGTGAACAAACACATCGGGAAAAAAAAATAAAAAGTTTGCCAAAAATAATATCACTGATCTAGGGAACATATTAACAATGAAATTGCGTGCCAACCATCATTTGGATTTTGGAGAAACAAGGTGGATTAGGGCCAAAGAGAACGTATTGACAATGGAAATATTACTTGCTGTCATCGAAAGAAATTAAATACCGAACGATGTCTATCAGTCTATGTATCCGGTCAAATTGCTTTATATTAAAAAAAAACATGTGTCATTTAATTAAGTAACGAGGAAAATAATTAACAATTAAATTCGTCCGCTAATATCTCCGAGTCCAGGGACTATATATCTCATAAAGGTGTTTAGGAATAAGAAAAACTATGATTAGCTGCTTCACACATAAAAGATAATTTGAATTGCAATGGAGAAAAATCATTTTAACAGAGGAAATCGAGCAACATATTTCAAAACCTTCATAGCTTATTAAAGTCAATGTTTGTTTTGTTGATTTTGCTGGAAAATAAATTGAAGTAAATGCAGAGTAATACGTACAAAATAAAAAAATAATTCTGAAAAGGGTGAGTGGTGGTTTCTTTCTTTCTGGTGTGGTGGGAGGAATGGGGATTGGGATGGGGTTGGTAGGAGATGGAGTTTTGGTTGGTTTGGTTTGGGAATTGGGATTGACTTGGGGAGCGGAGGAATGGATGACCGCGTTTCACATTTCTCATCCCCGTCCTCCGCCTACCACCACCACAATTATTATTATTTAAAAAACACACACACACAACAAACACAAATTGGGGGGAGAAATAGACATATATATGCAAACAGTAGCTAGCCAGGCCAGCCATAAAATAAAAGCTTTGCTTCTGCCACCAACCACAAGTGTTACCATAATACAGCTAAGCTAATCCTCCCCGTCACACATCACCTGCCCACTACCACACAGTCCTAGCTACTTGTTTAAAATACATTTGTCTTGTAGGATTTTTAGGATTCGTGTCCTCAAATTGGAATATTGACTTTTTTTCCCCCTTCTATTAGTTACAAACATTACAGCTCAAGTAGGGATGACAATTTACCCACCCATGGGTAATTTTGCCCAAACCCAAGTAGACCCATTTATTATGGGTAGGGTTTGGGTGATGTGTGTATGGGTTTGGGTTAGATATGTATATTATCTAAATGGGTATGGGTTGGATATGGATATCCATTTACTTGAGAGTGTTTTAACTACACATGCAAAAATTGGACTTATTTGTAAAACTTGAAAATTTTAGGTACCAAAATGTAAGACCAAAAAAATTTAGGTACCAAAACGTAATTTTCCATCGATATTTTGAGGACTTATATGCAAAAAAAATTAAATTTAGGTACTAAATATGCATATCTATTAAGTTTAGGTACCAAACTGTAATTTGTATTTGGGCATGGGTACAAACCCAAATCCAACCCAAAGTAAATGGGTATGGTATGGGTACAAACCCATTAAACTTTACCCATATCCATATATTTGGATTTCATACCCAACCCAATTGGGTTGGATAGTAAAATACCCATGGGTATGGGCAAAATTGCCATCCCTAAGCTCAAGTAACCATTTAACGTATAGGTGCGAATACCTATGCATATTATATGTCTGGTGTAAAATGCCATTTTTCATATGTATACAACCATAGTCCATATATAAAAAATGAGATTTTGGATTATTGAAGAATCCCATATAAAAATGTGAAAAGAGTTAAGAGGAGTGTTCCTTGTCTTGCGAATTGATGTCGGGGGAACCTTGCTAGGCCGAGAAGGAGCTCGGAGTCCAATCGAGTCCATAAGTATATTCAATCAACTATACGTGTAATTTGGACAATAATTTTCAAATTAACATCCGAATCATGTCTCGTACTTTTACCATAGTTTCAACACATCTCTCGCGTATAATAGAGGAAATGCGTTGTAGATAGAGGTTGTAATTAGTATCCAAATCCATAAATTCAATCTAATCCATCCACTAAAATATCACTAAACGTCTAAATCAATTTGTTGTCGGACGTGTGCATGCCTGCCGAGTAGGGATGGCAAAAATATCCGTAACCGTGGATATCCGCCCGAATCCGGCCTAGTCGGGTAGGGTAAAACCCGAACCCGAAGGACATTTAGTGGGTACGGGTAAAACCCGAACCCGAATATTGCGGGTAATGGGTGGGCATGGATTTCTCACTATCCGACCCGAACTCGTCCGATTATACACATGCATATGTATTTTGTCTAGAAATAATCATTATTTTTCTCTAACATATTTTATATTTAGCACATAAATATAACATTTTCATAAAATTGTGTTGTTTTAGTTAATTTTCTTCATTCTAGTGAATTCTTGTCGTACTTTTTCTCTTATTTAATATAAGAATACGTGTGAATGTTAACATATTGGTTGGAGTTATGAAGAGAAATTAATATCCATGGATAACCGTGGATACCCGAAACCCGAACGGGTATGGGCATGGTTTTGATTTTCTACCCGTTTCACATGTGGGTATGGGTATGGGTAAAACCCGAAGTACTTTGGGTAGGGTAACGGATATGCACTATCCGCCCCAACCCGACCCATTGCCATCCCTACTGCCGAGTACGACGTCGCACCTGGCTGTGCGTGTTTTAGTTTGTTTGGGTAGTGATTGGTTATTGTCCTTGTATGTGGTGTTTTAGTAATTCACCCTTTGGTTCGTGTAACCCGAGGAGCAAGTAAAATAGGGTCTTACACATATATATATACTAGTGTGGACCCCGGCCAGTTGGCCAGAGGAAGGTGAGATATGAAATTTGATAATATAATGGGGTGTATAGCTTATTGTTGTATAGTTTTTTATGGGAAATTTGTGATAAAAATAGTGAATTTTAGCAGGAAAGAGACATGAATGATGCAATGAATCAAAAATCAGCCTTATGAACCAAAATCAAGTACATGTTACCTTGTGAAACAATATTGTTTCTGGTCATATGATGAGGTGGAGTAAGCCAAATTCTAGAAAACCGAATAAAAAATCGCCTATCCTGTCGGTTTTCGGGAAATGAGCATCTCACAATCGTTGCTAGCTTTTACTCGGCCCGTTGGTCGATTAATTTGCTTTATAAATCTTTCATCTTGTCGTCATTGTGCTTTCTGGTTTTTGTTAGGCCATGATAAAATCTAATGAAATCAAGAACGAATAACACAATTTGGGATAGGAACCGTCGTTGTCGTATCCTAGAAAATGGTGGTAAACACAGACTCACCTGCCAAACTGGTTTGGATTGAGATTTTTATCGGGTATCAGGGAACCATGTGATTATAAATTAGACTTGATCAAAACGGGCCAAAACTTGAAATTCAGCATGTTTGACCGACCCATGCCAAATTCTAATTATTCTTTACTTTTAAACTTTCTATTTGAAAATAAAAAATAGTGAAAGAAAAGAGATTACTGCAATTCGCCATTTGCACATCACTTTTTCGAGAATAAAACCATAAAAATTCAAAAGGAACTGAAAATGTTTAGGATCGTTTTAATGTTTAAAATAACCAAATAGATCGTTCTATTTAGTTTTTTACTAACAAATACCAAACGATTCCCTATAAAATACACTATAATTTGATCATTATGATATCAAATAATTATATAATATATATTTGAAATTAGGGATGGCAATTTCGACCTGACCCGATTTATCCAACCTGTTTGACCTGTTTTGGAGCAGGTCAAACCCGCCCCGTAGGCGGGGCGGGGCGGGCATGGGTACCTCTCATCGACCCGACCTGCCCTGACCCGCCCCATTCTCGACTTGTTCTTGTCTATATTACATATAATCTTAGTCAAATTACTTAGGATTTTCCTCTTATTACATTATATTTTAGCTATAATAAAGTTGTAAATAAGTGAAAACCTCAATTTCTTCAATAATTTAACTACATTTTATCATATTATGGTTTCTTTCTTGGTTTTTTAATGAAAATAACGAATGTTTCTAATGTTTTTCGCATAATTACATACCCAACGGGTCTACCTGCCCGTACTCGCGCCCTTTGATAAATTACCCGACCTGGACCCGACCTGCCATGGGGCGGGTATGGGTATCGAGATACCCGCCCCGGACTTGCCCCATTGCCATTCCTATTTGAAATGATAAAAATTGGACTAATTGGGTTGGTCGAGGTTGAACCATTGAATAACTTGAAAATACATTATATTTTAGCCACTAAGATATAAAATAATAGCATAATATATATTATGTCAGACCCATTCAACTCTTTTATTTTATGGTTAGCGGTTAGCCCATTAGATACCATGCATTAGTTTATTGTCAAATTTTTTATTTTTAGCAATAAAAATGAGTATTGTTTTTGCCTTTTCATATATATTTTATCACCAGGGAGAAATAAAAGGGCTTAAAGAAAAAAATTGACACTCCTGGACCCGTTTAAATCTGCATGTGTACGGTAAGTTGGCCCGTTCCACAGAGGAAAGAGAAAAAAATTGACACTCCCTATTCTACCCTTTCTACAAACGCTCCTGGAGCAGGGAATTTGAAATGGGGGAAAAGTTTTTTCCTCCCTGCTATTATATGTTTTTAATTTAAAAAGATACAACAAATGTACTTAGTGTGATTGGTTATGATCCTTACTTTTCTTTAAAATGGTCATGGTTCAAATCCCAATATGTGTCTTTTTAGTGAATAAAAAAAAGTAATTGTGAAGACCAAAATGTCCTTCCTACTTTCACTCTCGTTGCAGGAAATTTGAAATGGGGCTCCCGTTTTTCTCTTCGGTGTATTATATTATGTGTAGATGTCTTCCTGTAACAGCCGAGCTGCTGTGTGAGTTGAGTATCAGAAAACCTAATAAAAGAAGTGAGAGCTCCTGGTGGGAGCTCTCCGTGGATTAGTCTCGTTCTAACGAACGAGGATACCACGTAAATCGGTGTCGTGTTCTTTAGCTTTTGCTCGTTTTTATCCAATCTACGAATCTATGAATTTCAATCTATTTGATCCACCAATCCACGAATCCAATACATCTGCCACCCCCAATTATAAAGTATCCAAATCAATGTTTTAAAGGGAAAGTACTTAGCTACATTAAAGTATTCATAGAGACACAATACCTAAACCACCTAAAAACAAGGTGATAAAACCATAGCACTTCAACATTAATTAGCTCATACATTATGTACATGCCTTGGACATCCATGGATGTAACTTGTTTGTTTTTGGGTGAAATATAAGAGCACTTAATGTACAACTTTAAGTTGTACCATAATGTTACATGTATATGTTATGGCACAACTCGAAGTTGTATCATCACATAAAAGGACAAGATGAAGTTGTACCATACATGACTGTAACAATTCGAAACTCCAGGACGGTTGTTGGAAGTGATTTTTCGCAATTGGGGGGCATCCATTCACCTATGTTGTACATTTGTACTTGACAACCTCAACAGAGAAAGAAGAGAACATCATTGGTAAACGATGGGAGTGAAGAACAAACAAGTGAACAAGTTCAACACTCTCTGCACTCTGCTCTGCATTCATTCACGTACCAACCTTTGGGCTTGTCTTCTCTTCACTCTCTTCCTCCTGCTGCCAGAGCCCAACCCCACAAAGCAGAGCAGGCGAACGTACCACGTTACCTTTCCACGCCTCCTCAATCTCAGCCGTCCGATCTCCTTCACCCAATCGACGGCCACCATTCACTTTCAACCAACCCCAACCCCCCTCCTCCTCCTCGCCAGTTTCCCTTTTCGCCGCCTGCCTTTCCTTCCGCTTATCTTACCTACCACCACCACCCTACAACTCTCACTCTCTTTCCTCTTCTTTTCTGTTTTCCTTTTCTTTCGACATTTCCAAAAAAAAAACAAACTCGGATTCACGACTGACTTTCAGAATCATTTCTAATTTTATTATATAATTAATAATACTCATCTTTCATTTTCCACGTAAATTGTTTCTTTTGCGCTCAAATGATGCCCCATCCTTCACAAAACAACCAGACCTACGTCAAAAACAATATTCTAGTTGAGGTTGTTAAGCTTACCTTGAAATCATCAAAATACTGATTCTCACAATTGGCTTCATAGTTAATTCAACTAAGTATCACCAAATAATAAAGGAATTATATACCCAAAAAAGAAGAAGAAAAACAACCTAAAAAAATACGAAAATAATATCGTTCAATACATTCTAGATTAGAACTTTAAAATAAACCACAACACACCACACATCTTTCGATCATACAACTCACCGCTAATAACTTGTAATCGTGAAAGGAAAGAAGAGAAGAATTGTAATTGTAACACTATCGTCATTCTGAAGTTTCTATCTTGCTCTGATAGTCCAAAACAAAACTCTACTTAGCATAAAAAAATTAAAATTTTGATTCAATGAATTGTTTCAATAAATCATGTTTGAGACGAGTCATTTGGGTTGTTATAACTCGTTTGGAAAATAATGTAATAATTGAACGGTGATGTAATTGGAACAACTTAAAATGAATTAATTTAAATAACATCTTATTTGAAATAATTCATCTTAATAAACTCTTATTTTCCCCTTTTTATTATAAAATACCACGACCAAAATACTCATATCATTCATCATAATAATAAAAAAAAACTCAAATCATAAAGAAATAATGCTCATAACTCATAAACGTCACATCTAAAATTAGACATAATTTGATTCCTAAATATTAGATATATAAAATTACTCATCCAAACCGGGGGGGGGGGGGGGGGGGGGGGGACTATTCCTAGCAGTCTACCCTCAAAAAAGTAAAGAAAAAAAGAAAAAAAAAACCCCACCCATCTATTTAAATGCACCGCTTTCCCTCTTCCACTCCTCAGGAAATCCTCACACCTCTCTGGTTCCTCAAAGCACAGTTTTCCTCTCCATTCTCCTCTGCCTCCTCCCAACTCTACTCAAAACCTCCCGTTTAGTTTTTTCCTCCCTCTCGCAAAAACAAAAAAACGGTATCAAACATGGCGGCAGCAGCAACCACCGTGACACCGATTGCCCTGAACGGCCACCACCACACCAATGGCTCCTTGGACAGCTTATGCCTGCCGGCCACCGCTACCGCCGCCGCCAACCTTCCCAGCGACCCCTTGAACTGGGGCGCCGCCGCGGAGGCCATGAAAGGCAGCCACCTAGACGAGGTCAAGCGCATGGTCGGCGAGTACCGTCAGCCTTCCGTCAAACTCGGCGGCGAAACCCTCACCATCGCTCAGGTCGCCGCTATTGCCAGCGCCCGCGATGTCACGGTGGAGCTCGCCGAGTCCGCCAGAGCCGGCGTCAAGGCCAGCAGCGACTGGGTCATGGACAGCATGAGCAAAGGAACCGACAGCTACGGTGTCACCACCGGATTCGGCGCCACTTCTCACCGGAGAACCAAACAAGGCGGCGCCCTTCAGAAGGAACTCATCAGGTAATTAAATCTTCAATTTCAATCCCCCCACCAATATTTTGTTGCATCTGGATTCTGGGTTAATAGAAAAATGAATCGAAACTTTTTGGATGCTTGCAGTTCACTAATTAATTGAATTGGGGGTTTTTGATTTTTTGCCCTACTCGCAGGTTCTTGAACGCCGGCATCTTCGGCAACGGCACCGAGAAATCCCACACTCTGCCTCACCCGACCACAAGGGCGGCGATGCTCGTCAGAATCAACACTCTCCTCCAGGGCTACTCTGGGATCCGATTCGAGATCCTGGAAGCCATAACCAAGCTTCTCAACAGCAACATAACCCCGTGCCTTCCCCTCCGCGGCACCATCACCGCCTCCGGCGACTTGGTCCCCTTGTCGTACATTGCGGGCCTCCTCACCGGCAGGCCCAACTCCAAGGCCACCGGCCCAGACGGCGAGACCATGGACGCCGCCGAGGCCTTCCGCCGTGCCGGAATCGACTCTGGCTTCTTCGAGTTGCAGCCTAAAGAAGGGCTCGCTCTGGTCAACGGCACAGCCGTTGGGTCCGGTCTGGCATCCATGGTTCTGTTCGAAGCCAACGTGCTCTCTGTTCTCTCTGAAATCTTGTCCGCCGTTTTCGCCGAGGTCATGAACGGGAAGCCTGAGTTCACCGACCATTTGACTCACAAGTTGAAGCACCATCCAGGCCAGATTGAAGCCGCAGCAATCATGGAGCACATCCTCGACGGAAGCGCGTACATGAAGGCGGCCAAAAAGCTGCACGAGCAGGACCCGCTGCAGAAGCCGAAGCAGGACCGCTATGCGCTGAGAACTTCACCGCAGTGGCTCGGCCCGCAGATTGAAGTCATCAGGTTTTCGACCAAATCAATTGAGAGGGAGATCAACTCGGTGAACGACAACCCTTTGATCGATGTCTCGAGGGGGAAAGCTATCCACGGTGGCAATTTCCAGGGGACGCCAATTGGAGTCTCCATGGACAATGTCCGCCTGGCGATTGCTGCAATTGGGAAGCTGCTGTTTGCACAGATCAGTGAGCTGGTCAACGATTTCTACAACAACGGGTTGCCATCGAATCTCACCGCCAGCAGGAACCCGAGTTTGGACTACGGCTTCAAAGGAGCGGAGATTGCCATGGCTTCCTACTGCTCCGAGCTCCAGTACCTTGCTAACCCTGTCACCAGCCATGTGCAGAGCGCCGAGCAGCACAACCAGGACGTGAACTCGTTGGGGCTGATCTCCTCGAGGAAGACTGCCGAATCTGTTGACATTTTGAAGCTGATGACATCCACTTACTTGGTGGCGCTCTGCCAGGCTGTTGACTTGAGGCATCTGGAGGAGAATTTGAAGAGTGCGGTGAAGAACACTGTGAGTCAAGTGGCCAAGAGGGTTTTGACTACCGGCTCCAACGGGGAGCTTCACCCGTCGAGGTTCTGCGAGAAGGATTTGTTGAAGGTGGTTGATCGGGAGTACGTGTTTGCCTACGCTGATGATCCTTGCAGCGGAACTTACCCGTTGATGCAGAAGCTGAGGCAGGTTCTGGTGGATCACGCGCTTGCCAATGGCGAGACGGAAAAGAATGCCAGCACCTCGGTTTTCCAAAAGATTGGCGCTTTTGAGGAAGAGCTGAAGACCCTTTTGCCCAAAGAAGTGGAGGGTGCTAGGGCGGCGTATGACAATGGGACTGCTGCGATTCCGAACAAGATAATGGAGTGCAGATCTTACCCTCTGTACAAGTTTGTGAGGGAGGAGCTGGGGACGGAGCTGCTGACCGGAGAGAGGGTCCGGTCGCCTGGGGAGGAATTCGATAAGGTGTTCACTGCTCTGTGCGAGGGGAAGATCATTGATCCGATGATGGCGTGCCTCGAGGAATGGAACGGTGCCCCTCTTCCAATTTGTTAGAGAAATGGTCCATGAAAGGGTTTTCTTTTAGTCAGTGGTTTGGGCAGTTTTAAGTTTCGCTTGGGATTATTTTCCTTCTTTGTTTTCTTGCTTCATCCCCTTTTGTGGAATTTAAAAGTATTCTGCATCCATGTAGCGTCCATTTGTGATTGTGTAGTGTAACTTTATGTGACATAAAGGAGGTAAATGACGATTTCGATTAAATGTTGTTCTACAATCGTCTTAATCATTTGCTCACTAATTTGCATCTAAATACCAGCGATGTTTAAAGGCACTGAAATCTTTGAAGGCCCTAAACTTGAAGAAAATCGATTTGGGGCAGTTGATACGAGAGCAAAGCTGTATTTTTTTTCTTTTTATGTATGTATGTATGACACTATTTAACAACGGTTATAATTAAACTTCGAAGCCGACTCCACATCTGATTCTTCTTACCCAAATGCCAAGGGAGAAAGGGAGGAACATTGAGCAAAATATCGCGCATAACCAATGGTGACTGTCACATCTTGAGGTTTGAGTGACTAAATGTGACATGTTTCAATAATTCTGAGTAACCGGAGTTGGACGGAGGCTACAGGAGAGTGACCAAATGCAGGGGCGGAGCCAGGATTTCGAGACCGGGGGGGCCGAAAATAATTAATTAATAAAAAATTTATAATTATTTTAGAAGTATAAGACGTTCTTTGATCATTGAAATCACTCAAAATAACATCTAAACTAAAACTTTTGGCTGTCATTTTTCCGTTTGAAATTGGGAATGTTAATGAAAATTGAGACTTAAAATTAATTAAACTAAATAAAAAAGGTGGCTTTTTATCGGTACTCTCTCACAATAAATGGGGATTTCGGTTTTGTTTGGGGAATTGTAGAGGGGGAGTAAATTAATGAAGATTAAAAAGTTGGTAAAGAAAAATAAAAATGACGGTTTTGTTTGGGGAATTGTAGAAGGGGAGTAAATTAATGAAGATTAAAAAGTTGGTAAAAAAATGAAAAAGACAAATGTGATCTTGTGGATTGAACTCATGTCCTTGAAAACAAAAGTCAAGCTTGACTTCCATTAGACTATACACCTTTTACATAATAGGATTTACAGAACAAGTAATACTTATATAATTTGTACAAAATATCCTTAATATCCTAGGGCCGAGACTAATCCCGGGGGGGCCGGGGCCCACCCTACCTTGAACATAGCTCCGCCCCTGACCAAATGTGACATGTTTCAGTAATTTGAGTGACCAAAATTGGTATTAAATTTTTCTAGTGACTAAACATGACACAATTTAGTAATCTCAGTGACCAAATGTGGCATTTACCCATATATTATGAGATATATAATTTAAGAAACTTATGAATTATGAACAAGACAACTAATGAGTCATATATCAATTCACACATAAACGGCTAATTAATGAGCCTTGTGTCGAACATTGTAGGAAAGTGACTTGAACCAAACCTTTTGTTAACTTGAACCAAACCAAATACATTGTAGGAAAGTGAAAGCAACTCCTAACGATCGGCTCGATGTTTGAATCAGTAAAAAAGCCCGCATTCAAATGGCAGTGGAAGCCACGTTGCAAGTTAAATGGCGTTTATTAATCCAAACCGTAAGTTATACAATTTTAATATAAGGGTCGTTTGCTTCGTGGATTTGAATGATGCATTTGATACCCAAATTCAATCTATCATGAATTTAAGGAAACTTCATTGTTTGCTTGCACTTTTTTATGATCTGTGGGCCCCACGAATTTAAGGGTACAAATCCGTGAATCCCACGGACTTGTAAATCCCACATGTTGATGTGGAATTTGGAACATGCCATAAATATATGATGATATTTTACCCAAATACCCTCATGAATTGCCAAAGGTAATATAGCCTAGCAGTGAAACCGTTGGTCTGGTTGGCTCAGGATGTGAGAGCCTGAGAGGTCCTGAGTTCGATCCCCAGCGGCACCGTTTGTGTGTTCCAGGAGGCATGCCTGAGTGCTGGGGACGAAGTCTCCCGATGTTTTGTGTTGTATAGGTGCTCCCCAGGTTTAGTAGATCACGCTGTCACAAAGTGGCATGTGGGGTTGAGGTTCCTGGGTTATCAAAAGAAAAATTATACCCTCATGAACTTTTAATATTCCGAAATTTCTCTCACATAACCTATTGTACATTATAATTAATCAATTAATTAACAACAAAAAATAATATAAATATTCAATTGATGTGCAAACATGAGTTAGATTTTTTATTCTCTTTCTTGTGTTTTCCTTTAACCTTTTCATGGACCGTGTAAGTCTTTGTTCTCCCGGTTCTACTATATGTTGCTATATGTTACCTTTAAAAAGGAGGACAAAGAATTAGTAACTAATACATGTTAAAAGTTAAACGGAATTTCACTCTTTATTATTATTATATTGTTGCAACATTATGCTTATTAATATGTATTGTTTGTGTACGTATCATAAACATGACAAACAAATAAAAATAGCATAGTAATGTAAATTTTGTACTTCAAGATTTAAATCCCCAACCCTTAAACCAACTATAAAACATCTCAACAAGCAAAACATAGTTACAAATTCGAGTTCTTGATAAATCTTTGAATTTTTAAATTACAAAATCCTCATTTTTAAATGACCCCGTAGTTTGGGACATGAAGCGGCATCTAAAACATGTTGAATACTCAAAAGGAATTCAAGTTATTTTTACTTTAACATCTCGAGTACAGGGATGAACAACGACCAGTGACAGTGAGTAATAATTAAATTACTAACCCATTGTCACAATTTGAGATAAAATTGCATCGAAACCAGAATTAATTGGTGTGGTGGTGTGGTTTGCCCGGCACCGGTCATCCGACCTAACATAGAAATCTTCAATATTAGTTATGACTATAGACGGGACGGGAGGTGGTGCACATGGCTGGCAAGGACGGTCGTGGCGCCATGTTTGCTGCACAATTCTTGCTTATTAGATTGCTGAATGCTGCTGCTGCTGCAGGTTTGGAATAGTAGGGGAGATTTCATTTCATTCCAAGAGTAGCTCAGCTCAGTAATAAATAATTCAGGTACGCCATTATTGCCGCTCCAACCCCACCGTTATTATTATTATACAACAACGACGGATCGGGAGAACCCCTAGTAATAGTATGCTATTGTATGGCGCAATTATTATTATTATGTCGATGAATCTAAGGAGGACACAGAAGAACGGGCATCAAAATGCGAGGCAATCTGATGAACCCGCGCATAATTAGGTTCCCAGTCTCCAAGAATACTAATATCAGACAATTTATGAATTAAAGAAACAACTCGAAGTATCGAGGGGCCGGTGTATGTTTACAAAAGTATAGCTTCTATGTAAAAGTGAAATGATGGATGTGGGAGGAAGTAAAACCGCAAAATTTTAAGCATTTTACAAATTTGATAGAAATTTTATAATAATAATTTTTAGAGTGTTTCTTTGGGAATATCTGTTAATTTTTAGGATAAATATAATTTTGTATTCAAAATTTTCAAATTATTAGTTAAGCCTTTCAAAATAAAATAACACAATAGCTAAATTTTAACTTCCCTTTAGTAGTATTGACTTGACAACATGATACTGACTTCAAATAGACACGTGGAGGTCAACATTATAAAATTTTAGTATTTTAACTAGGGATGACAATTTGAACCCGCCACCGTCGGGTATTACCTGACCTGACCCGCGATGGGGCGGGTATTACCTAACCCATAGTAGCGTGGGGCGGTGCATGGGTATCTACTTCAGACTCGTCCTGTCCCACCCCGCCTAGTTCTTGACCCATTCTATCGCAATTTCTTATAGCATCTACTCATATTTCTCCTATTTGGGCCTTTATCAACTAGATAGACTTTATTTTTTAATTAGTTAGACTCAATTACCCATTCTATTATCACTAATTTTTCATTAATAAAGTGTTTTTCCCTTCATTTTATCGTAAAAGTATAATTTTGCATGAATTATTTTCAAATAACATGTAAGAGTGGGTCGACCTGCCCCGCGTGAGTATTACCCGCCCCGACTCGTAGTAGCGTGAGACGAGGCATGGATATTGAGGTACCCTCCCCGCCCCGCCCCACTGCCATCACTAATTTTAACTAAGAAAAGAGTTACAAAATTATTAATGGTAACATATCATGACTAATATTTTGATGCGTTACAAAAGATTTGACTAAGACTAATATTGTGTAATTTGAAAGGCTTGGCTAATAATTTGAAAAGTTTAAAAGCTTTGTCTAATTAATTGTATTTACTCTAAATTTTATTTGTATAATATAAACAACTAAGTGAACTAGCTCATATATTAATGATCAGTCAGACACACATACACTGAACTAATAGAGTTTTAAACAAGCATTCAACGCCTACCTCCTTCTTTCGAGAAAAAATACGAGAAAAAGGAAACAATTAACAAGTAATGAAGCTATAAGGATAGTACACAAACTTCATTAATAGTGAAAGTGGCAACAAATGGGAGGTTTTAGGAGACGAGTTTTGATAACATCCAAAATGGTGTTATTTAGCCTCTATATTTTAGGTCTTTTCAAGTCATTTCATGGTCTCAATGGTTAATATTTTATCAAATGCACCTAAATTCGTTCATCGGAGAAATTTATGTAATTTTAGGGTGTAGTAGATGATACTTGCATTTTATGCAAGAAAATGGGTCACAAGTATAGGACAAGGAGCAAAGCAAGGAGATAACTGCCGGAGGGTGGAGATCACGGCCGAAAAGAAGAGGCGCGAAGTCAAGCTCAAAGATCAAGGCCTCTAGAGCAAAGATCATGCCCGCGATCTGGAGAGTGTCAACCGTGAACTTGAGGAGTAGCCACCAAGGAATGGATAAAGAGTTTCGATAATCGACTTGTCGCCTCTATTATCCAAGGCCATGGGAAAGATCGCAACCGTGAGAGGTCGCGGACTTCCAAGCAAGCAATTAGACCAAAGTGAGATTTGATTCGGGTCTAATTGAAAATGTTTTCACCCCAAGTTCTTGAGGTGTTTGGGGCGTTTATATCGCTTAAGGTTTGATTTTACATTACGTTGTGCATGTTTCTAACATGTTTCAGGTTCTAGCATTTGAGATTGGCCTTGGAAGTGAAAGTTGAACGAAAGAGGGCAAAGGCAAATCGAAAAGGGAAAATGGAGAAGATCACGGTTAAACCAACATTATCACGGTCAGACGACCATGAAGATGAGGGCCAGACTGTGACATGCAAGTTGTCCAGAGAGTTTCTTACGCCTCGAGGGCCTAAAAATTATCACGGTCACCTGACCGTGATAATCCCATCCAGACCATGAACGGAGTAAATGAAACGGTGCGCTTTTTCCCGATATCATGGTCCGAGCTCCCAGTTCACGCCCGAGATATTTGACCTTGCATCGATTGGCACCCCTAAATCGTGCGTCAGATCTCTAGACATCACTCGCTGAATAACCAATTGAGAGTCACCATGAAATTTAATAGAAAGAACACTATGAGTTAGGCACTAGTTCATGGCATCTCGTAAAGACAAATCCATGAAGAATGAATCTTGCATACCTTTGTTGTACTTTCCAAAGGCGAAGCTCACAACCCCTGAGGATTCAAAGCCCAGGTAGCCAATTCCACCACCCTGGCTACGCTTTACGAAGTCGTTGAACTAAATAGAGGCCACCAGACTTTGCAAAAATGCTATAGTAACCCCCCTTGACAGATTGCCTGTACTCACCAATGTAAGAGCGAAGGTTTGCTATCGATGCTAAGGAGCCCCTACAGCAGGACCAACAGCTGCTTGCAACTCATCAATTTGTACCCTAAACTAGCGAAGTAGGCCAGGTCGCTGATATTGAATGATGCCATGAATGGACCAACATATACCTTTCCAAATGTGCCAACATAAGAACACCATATTAGCTATTTTCACATAGGATAAATGGAGAGAAACTAAATGGATGCGGTTGAGATCTAGTCCTGCAAGTCTCCATATGCCCCGTGCTATCCTGCAGTGGAAAAAACAATGCAAAAATGATTATGCACCACAAAGACAGATTGGACAGTCTGTATTTGATTCGGGCGTATTTACACATGTTTTATTCCTTTATATCTTGACTTCTTGCCTTAGTTATCATCGTTCCTCAACCTATTTTAGGCTATGTTGTGCTATTTTTGTCACATTTTAGATTCTAGTACGTGTGGGTGATGTAGGGGATGAGTTTTAGGACAATTGGAGGGCGAAGCACGTCAAAAAGTGAAGAAGAGGACTAGATCACGGCCTTAGGTCGTGACCTCAGCAAGCAGGTCGTGACACTTACATGGTTGTAGGGGCCACAATGCACCTTGCAGTCACTGTTCACATCATGGCCTCAGATAGTTACCATAATGAGGAGGCCGTGATGACAGCGCAGTACTCTTCATTTTTAGCCGTGATCACGGTGGTGACCTGAGACTGTGACTCGCACACAATTTAGCTATAAAAGAGGAAGCTGCGGGTTTTGAAAGGGGAGCTTGGTTTTTCTTAAGGGTTTCGACCCAAAACACCTATAGAGTCATATCTATAGAGAGGGAGAGAATCAGCCATCTTTGAGTCATGGATTCAAGCATAAAAGATGAGGAAGATGAAGATCTTGAGCTAGTTTGTAACCTCTCTATTCTTTTTATGAGTTAGCCCTCTTCTCTTAGGTTGAGGAACCCTAGGTCTAGGTCTAGATTTTGATGAGATGTTAATGTATGTGACTAATCTTATGTTTGATTGTTCATATTATCTATTTGATGGATGTTTGTTATGCATTGCATGAGTTTGGATTCCATTTCACGTCAATTGAGCTTTTGACCTAGGAAGAGAAAATCCGCTTTTAGCGCATTCTTGTTAGGGTCACTCCTCATTCTATGTCGTCCGGATAATCCTCCGAGGGAGCCAATTCGATGATCTTATAATGATATAGGGTCTCCCTAGGTTGAATAGAACACTTACCAATCCATCACTTTGCCGTTCCGGGGCAATCCCGAGAGAGTCAATCTCCTAACAGTAGGGATATCGAGTCAATTGACCTAGGATGGTATGCAACATCGGTCTAAATGATGGAACTAGGGTGATTCAAGCCAAGAGAGCTCTATGAGTTGTAATTAGATAAAATAGCGGTTAGGTTAGTGTAGTTAGATTAGATTCTTAATCACTATTCTAGGTTGTCTAGATAATGAAACCTTGAGCCGAAGTAAGGTGCACCTAGAGACCAATGGTTTGATAATTTTTTTACTTGTTTATCGTATGCTACAGCCAATCATTGGTTAAAAGGGCTTTCGATTGGGAAGTTTTAGTTAGAGGTGTAGGGAATTATTTGTAATGGAAGAAAACTCCTAGAAACTCTCCAAAAGAGAAACTTCAATTTCGGCGGGATCGGCAAGTTCCATAGGAGTTTTCAAAACCTGATATAAAAAGGGAGAGCCATGGGGGGTGTTAACCAAATCCAGGAAACCCAATGGATACCATCTTTTTTTATCTTGTCCATTAACCCTCTCCTTCATAAGTGTTCATAGGCAAAAGGTGACAAACCACCCTCTGAACCTGAAACTCCAAGAGGCGTGGGTGCACGAAAATTATTCGAATCCACCAGGTTTCAAGCTATGAACATAGCTTCCAACATCATCCCCCTCCTCTGACTATCCCTGTGATAGAACAGGAAAGGAGAAATCTCTCCTATCCTCCATATGACTGGGATTGCACGCACTATCATACTAAGTACTCCAGGCCATGAAAGCAAAATGAACAAAACAACAACACATATCTCAGTCCGCGAGTTGTGCGAGGAAGAGGGTCATGAGGGACGAGATTGTGCATACAAGGGTTGTGCCCTAAGCTATCTTCCAAGGATAAAATCCATATAACTTCCATAGCTATATCTACCAACAAAATCAAGAAGCCTCCAACCGTAGTAACCAACAAAATTTCAGACTATGAAGGAACAAATAACTCGCTTAGTTGCTGAACTGGATGCCAGAACTCATGGATCTCCTCCAACCAATATGGAAGGTAATCCTAAACTGAAAGATGTCAAAATTATTAGCACACATAGCTTAGAACCTCATGAAACATTTTATAGATCTAAATTTACTCATCCAAAATCAGTTTATGGAGAGAATTTGATCCAGGAATGTCAAACAAAGGCTAAGAACCTGACATATGAAGCTAAAACTGGAACTCCCATATGGGGGAAAAATGACACCTCATCATCTAAGAATCTAGAAAATTATCCAGAACTCAACCTAGGGCTTATGGAGCTTTCTGTAGTGGCCAGACATAACTTTAAGTCTTATAGACGTAAAAATTATGAAAAAGGGAATGAATCATGTGCTGCAAAATGCCCAAATCACTTTCCTACCTTACAAAAACTTTCTTATTTGTAATTGGTAAAAGCGAGGAAGAAAAATGGTGAAATTTCGGAAGCAACACAATTTTATGTGATCACCAAAAAGGTGGGAAAAGCTCCCAGGGGAGGCATTTTTGCTTTTGGACAACTAAAATTTGGAAACATGGATAAGGAGAATTCTGGTCAATCCAACTCCTCTGAGGAGTCTCCCATGACTCCTAACCACAAACAAGAGTCTTATACCCCCATGAATTCAAATGAAGGACCTTTCTCCATTGGGAAAAAGAAGGAAGATGTTGAATCTTACTCCATAAGGTTGAGGATTCTATCCTCTATAAAGGGATTACCATCTCCTGCTACTAAAACCATGAAAAAGTTTTATGTTACAGGAGGTGGAAGTCAAGTCCATCATGGAGATGTAAAAGGATCAGCAATCCTGCCTAGAAAAAAATGGCGGCCCAAGGCCCCAAGTGGTCAAATTCAGACCAAATGTTGTTAAATTTTTGCAGTATGGGCGTCATTTTTTATACCTCTGAAGGAAACTATAGCTTCAACACCCAAATAGCATTACATGAGTTTCTAGAGATTATGCGAGGAGAAGAATGTGTTGCACCAATTCTGAAGACTATCATTGAAACACATAACTCTGTGCAAGCAATGTGAAAGCTTCATATTGAGGAAGAGCACTCTGAAAAGTAGACAATGGAAAATATAACTCCCAACATACATCACACAGTACTAAAAAAGTTGTTAATCTAGTGCACTTTACTATCACATGCCTTCTTAACAAGCTTTACGTAACTGATTCTTTTATCGACATTGGGCTAGCCTCAATGTGACGAGGAGGGGGAATTGTCATACCCCCTAGGTTGACGATGGGGGAAGACGTCAAGTGACAAAGGGGTCAACCCTACAGCTCCCATGATCATAAGTGGTGAATTGTTTTTGCAATTATGACCCCAGTTATCAGAGTATCGATTCATATGTGACAAGAGGGGACCTTTATGCCTTAGTTTGTTTTTCTCGGCACCAACAAAGCTAAGGAGGAGCTAAGAAGACTAAGGAGGGGACAACTATCAATACGAGGCATCATCGAAGCTGTGGAGAGGTAACTATCACTCCATGTCACTCGAGCAGTTTCTCAAGGTAGTTATTTCTTGTAGCTATAAGTAGGAGGTGTAAATGACAAAGGAGTGGGTCGCCAAATTCACGCTAGACAATCCAATGTCTTAGTTATCTTTTTCTCTACAATTTTAGGAATAGTTGTAGTTCTAGAACTTTCACCGAACCTCTATATGAATAGATAAATTTAATGTAGTTTTGTTTAAAAGATCATTAAAAACATCGAACAAACTTGTTTGAACTTTGTTAAAAAATGTGTAAATCGTGTTTAGTAACGATATTCATTAGGTTAGAAGTCAAATGCACTATTAGTTCAGTTTAAATAAAAGTTTTCTTGCCACATGTTGAATGGATTTATAAAATGATACCTATCAATATATATTACATTTCAGTTATTAAAATTTTAATCTTTTACCTCATGGACATATATTTTTAAAATACGTTTTGGATTAATTAAGAACATTTTCAACATGGAAGCGTAAACTATAGTTTTGCTTATATTTCTTTCTTTCTTTCACACAAACTCCATGCCGCCCATTAGAAAAAATTGTGGTGGCAGCACCAGAAAAATTGGAGAATGATTGCAAACTGCAATACTCTTTTACCACCTATTCCCCCCTGTTTGTCTCCAGGAATTTCATGTGATAAAAGAATTAGCACATTACCACTTCATTCCCCTCCTCAATCTTAAGATCTTGTTCCATTTACACAAGATACATACGCTCTTTGTGAATCTGCTTCCATCTTGTTATTTCATTCATCGGGTCTCCTTTTGCCTCTTGGCCATTTTCCTACATCAATTCTATTGTGATTAAGTCGGAGAAGAGTTTTAGCTTCACGCTATCATGGGTGTTTCTGAGGGAATTCTCTTAGGGATGGGAAATCCATTGTTGGATATATCTGCGGTCGTGGACCAAGATTTCTTGAACAAGTATATAATGTTTTAGATCTTTCCCACAATTTGGATTTTGGGTTTGTTGATTCTCTTCGAAATTTGATACCGATTTATGTTTTTATTCTCTTTACAGATATGATATCAAGTTGAACAATGCGATTCTCGCTGAGGAAAAGCATTTTCCCATGTAAGTGTTCAAACGTATTGCCTATGAGATGATAATTTTTCTTTTCTACTTATGATGATTTCGACTTTCCCCGCAATTCCTTGTTATGCTCTAGTAGAATTGTGAGATCTCGATTACTAGTTTTTAGTTTAAAATATCTGGGTTCTTCATAAGTTGAAGCGAAAAATGTGTCTGTTAAGCAAACTATCATTTGACATGAAAGAAAAAAAATTGTCTCTCAGGTACGAAGAAATGGCCAAAAACTACAAAGTGGAGTTTATTGCAGGAGGTAAAAAAACAACGCATGTATTTGGTAATATTTTTATGGTGATGGATCATTTAATCTTTTTTTTTATTGTTAGGTGCTACTCAAAACTCAATCAAAGTGGCTCAGGTATAAATTCAGAATATACTCTTGGGTAACATAAGCAAATTGGATCAAATCTTTATTCCAGTACCAAAGCAAACTTTTTGTCCCTTTCTTTTTTCCAGTGGATGCTTCAGTTCCCTGGTGCAACAAGTTACATTGGGTGTATTGGGAAGGACAAGTTTGGGGAGGAAATGAAGAAAAACTGTAAACTTGCTGGTGTTAATGTGAGAATTTCTGTTGATCCTGACTCTTTTCAAATTTGCTTGAATTCACACTACACTATACTTACCTAACTCTCCTGCTTCGAATTCAAAATAAATATAGGTTCGCTATTATGAGGATGAATCCACACCCACAGGAACTTGTGCTGTCTGTGTCCTTGGAGGTGAAAGGTTTGTTCATAATATTCAATTGATCCTATTCAGAATTAAAGTGTTCCACTTTCCATTGTGATCTTAACTATTGAGCCTTTGTTTTCTATACATGTAGATCACTTGTAGCAAATCTATCAGCAGCAAACTGCTATAAGTCTGACCATCTCAGGAAACAAGCCAATTGGGCACTCGGTAACAACTTTCCTTCCTCTCTAAGAGATATTTATCCTTCTGTTGTTATTATTCACTTGGAAATATGGAGGAACTAACTTGTTTGGAAGAGGTTCTATTTTTTTCATACAGTTGAGAAGGCTAAGTACTTCTACATTGCTGGATTCTTCCTTACTGTGTCCCCTGACTCCATCCAACTTGTTGCTGAATATGCAGCCGCAACCAACAAGGTATATTGTTGGATTGTTTCTCTTTGTGTGTTAAGAAACCCTAAACTGTTTTTATTTGGTGATGAATGAGAATGTGACTGCAGGTGTTCACTATGAACCTTTCAGCTCCATTCATCTGCGAGTTCTTCAGGGATGCACAAGAGAAAGTCCTTCCGTGAGTTTGCCCTATCCTATTATCTTAAAAGTCTCATCAAGCTCACACCTAGCTGCCCTGGTGACTACATTGAATGTGTACTACAGGTATGTGGACTTCGTATTTGGAAACGAGACTGAAGCAAGAACTTTCTCAAAAGTTCATGGTTGGGAGGTAACCAAATCGAATGTGTACTAAACCAATCTTAACTGTTCTTTGTGAGAGATTTTATGTTAATCTTATTTAGACGAATTAATATCCATATTGACCAGACGAAGAATGTGAAAGAGATAGCTATCAAGATATCGCAATGGCCTAAGGCATCAGGAACATACAAGAGGATTACTGTCATAACTCAAGGTGAAGATCCTGTGGTTGTTGCTGAAGATGGGAATGTGAGGACTTTTCCTGTCACTCCATTGCCAAAAGAGAAGCTAGTCGACACAAATGGTGCAGGTTCGTAATGGGGATCAATATTTCATTCCATATTTTGTATTCATGGTGGAAGTTAACTATCTGGCGATTGAGTAAACAATGACCCAATAACCAACCCATTGCTATGTGTTGTTTACAAAGGTGATGCGTTTGTCGGAGGATTTATGTCGCAGTTGGTTCAAAAGAAGCCCATTGAAGAATGTGTAAGAGCAGGTTGCTATGCGTCCAATGTTGTCATCCAAAGGTCTGGCTGCACATACCCTGAAAAGCCTGATTTCGAGTGAAAAACACTTGGAAATTGGCTTTTCTAAAGTTGAAACACTATTGTTCTACTATTTTGTTATTGTTTTCTTCTAGATTTGGTGCTTCGAGCACAATACCAACAAAGTACAATAATACACAATTATAACTGTATCCTTTTAAGTATATTCATTTACACAAATGTGAGGAAGTATGGTCATTATAATCCCTCTCACTTCCATAAACTTCCCTCAAGCATATCAAATCGAGGAAGTTGGCGGTCAAAACAAAACCCAAAAAGGATTTTTGAAGTATGATATTAGGCTAGTTAATAAGTTGGACTTAGCATCGCCAATCAAAGTATGCACCAAACTAACGATACAAAACATCAAAGCAAAGTGAAGAAATAAAGCTGGTTATAACTAGTTGAACCACGAAAATACAGCTTCAAGCTTAACGAATGACCAACAATCTTGGTGATGAATTGATAAAGTTTTAAGCGATTTCATGCGTACAATTCAGTTGTGAACTCACACAGAAAACTCGACATAATACTTTTGTCTAGTACTCAAGGCTTTATAAAATTCGCATGTAAAATGCCCTATACAAAATCAACTTCTATTTAATTAGGAAACATAATACTATTTCTACTATAAAAATAAAACTAAAATAAACGAGAGGAAAATGATGTTAACCCTTATAATAGTTAGCAACACGATAATCACCAACTAAATCGCACATACGTATTTCTAATATATATATAGCAAAGGCTAGCGTACGCCCGCGTTCATGCCTATTATTTGTACATTAATATATTTCGATGAATCTGAACCGTTGGTTATTATTTTAAGATTAGTCGAATCTCATGGTTTGGGCTAGAAATTTAAGGACTGGGGTTCACCCATTAGAGGTTAGGGTATACTATCATGCCCCAAACTCCGATTAATTTGTGATCTAAATAGCAAAAATCAACGAGCATATTGTAAGTTAGTGTACGCCTGGGCGTAATCTGTGATATACTCTTATTAACCAGTGTTTGTCGTTACATTATCTAGTTGTAACTCCAGAATGAAAAAAATAGGTGGTCTATCCAGCGAAACAATACATTCTTCCCATCGCGTTTCCGAATGCGCCATGAAGTGAGCATCATAGTTTCCATCACGAGGTACGTGTTGCCAAGTCCCTAGTCCCATACCACCAAGTATATGTCGAATGCTTTTGCAGATTACACCTGTTTGAGAATCAGTTAGCTCCGCATCATGGGGTTTGTTCGCCAACCCAAGACTGTCCGTCTCTAGAATAGGGTTCAAGATCTGATGTTTTTGGGGAAGCTGCAACCCAATGTCTGTTGCTACAACCTCAGCTTCTTCCCCAGTCCACCGTCGCGGCTCTATATTTTCTGCCACCATCAGGAAATAACCATTCGAACCACTCGTGACCATTCGAAGGCCTATGCCTCCGTCTTGCAAAATTGCAACGTCAGTATTGATATTTACGTGGCCCTGAGGTGGAGGGATCCATCTAGCCATTTCCGCCTCCATAACATGAGCCACATTATTTGTTTGATGAGCTCGGTAATCGTCAAGGAAAAGCTTGGTTCTTGGTAGAATCTTCTGTTCTTCTATCTTCATATCGTTAAACCGGAGCACATTGCGTTCACGCTAGAGTTACCAAAGCAACACGAACCAATCTTATACCTTTCCATTACTCTTTGTCTCCATTAAATTCGATACCAGTTATAACAATGTTTAGAAGCCCTGCAGGAATAGCAATCCACATATTTGGGTAACCTATACAGCCTAGTAATCTATTCACACTCCCCCCAAAAATGTGTATCTATGTTTCACGCGTGTCACAGAAAGGACATCTATCTCCCCACTTCTTGCTCTTTGTGATAACTTGGTTGCTAGTGACTAGAATCCCTCTCATAAAGCGCCACATAAAATGCTTTACTTTAGGATGAATTTTCATTGCCCATAGCTTCTTCCATGTCGCTACTTCTCCAACCTAGGTAACTTGGTGGTTGAGTAGGAAATTCTTCAACCACAACTTATATCCTTCCTTCATAGAGTACTCTCCCAATTCACTCGCTACCCATATAAGTTTATATCTTTTGCCATTCCCTAACAATGGTATCTGAAGAACTCCTTGCCCAATATCTATTAGTAGGCATATAGTTATCACATCCCAATCCCATTGTTCCGTATATGGGTTTATAAGTTCTCGAATGTTTGCATCAACTGGCAATCCGCACGGTGCCTCATCAATAAAGTCAGCAGTGCCACCAATGATTCAGCAATCTCCCCAGATCCTCACCTTTTCCCCATTATCGATTCTCCATCGAAGTCCTGCACATAAGAACTCATGAGCGCTCATTAAGCTCCTTCAGATGAAGTTGGGATGGTAGCCCATAAAAGAATCTAAGACCGAAGTGTTCTTGTGATACTTGGCTTCATGATTTGGGCGACGAGGGTTGTCAGGTAGAGCCTCCTGATTCGGCTACCACTAAACAATACCAACTATAGGCCAAGTGCAACCTATAGATGGGTGTAGGGTAGGACAAGTATTTCAATATCAACCCGTTGGATCTATCTACTCTTACTTTAATTGTTCACACGTCATCTAGTGATTGATTTGTGGTTAAAGCTAAGGAAACTAAGGGTTCGTTTGCTTCGTGGATTTGAAAAATGAAGGTTTAGGTAAAACTTGGGTTTTGTATAACCATGGATGTATGAGGGTTTTGGGTTCATCATGGACTTGAAAAATACCATTGTTTGTTTCATAGATTTCATGATGGGATTGGTTAATTAGATTTGTATGTATGAAGTGAAATTTACCTTTATTGCCCTTATTGGTATGAGAAGAGAAATGAAATAGGACGAGTAGTTTGGTCTTAAATGATGTCACTACTTTGATGAAGAAAAGTAACCAATCAAGACTAAATCATGGCACTACTTTGATGATCGAGGGATGACTCGAATTCCCCTAGAGAAGGTTACGCGAATTGCCAAAATTGGGCTATAAGTGGATTTCCTCCAAGGATTAAAATACCGTACCGTACCAACGTTTCGACCTGAAAACCCTTCTACCGGAAGCAAACCGGTACGCGGTATTTAGCGGCATAATATGGTTGAACCATGGTTAAACCATGATTTTAGCATAAAATACCCTACCGCTGACGTTTCCGGTACGACCTTCGGTACAGTATTTCAATCCTTGATTTCCTCCTTCTAGGTCTATTTGTCCCTAATTTGAGAGATATGATCAACAAACACCCAAATTTCATGAATAATAGCTCAATCATTGTATAAATCACAAGCTCAACACACGTAGAGTTTAATTCCTACAATCTAACACATCCAAACTAGGGTTCACAACATACAAGTGAAATTGCAAACTACTCAATAGCTAGAGGAGAAAATACAAATAGGATAAAAGAAAAAAATATTGAAAGTTTGTCTTCCTTCTTTTAAGATGATTGATTCAACATTCAAAGAAGAAATCAACCTTCCTCTAGCCTTGGTTAGGTGAAATTCTCCTTCCTTCTTCATTCTTTCTTAGCTCGTAGCTCTCTCTCTCTAAACCTTGAAGAAGAAGTTCCAATCTTTCTCTAGGACTCGCTCATTTCTTCCTTCAGCTCACTCTCCTATTTATAGCTCCCAACTGTAAAAATCAATGTCCAACTTCACGCACGTGAAGTAGGCAGTGAAACAATGATCTTGGCACAAAACATGTCGTTTCACTAGCTAACTTCATGGTCTTGTTTACTTCACGGTCGGGAGACCGTGACTTTGCAGTGCATGTGAGCTCTACAAACCCTCCTGAAACATTGCGATCTTCACGGTCTAAGTTTTGACATCACGGTCTGCCACCCATAATAATCTCTGCCTTGCCATGACCTTCGCATTTTTTTACCATTTTGCTCCAATTTCGCCCTCTGTTGTTCGACTTTTGATCTCGGTGCCAATATTATGTGCTTAGGTATGAAATATGACAAAACAACGAACAAACCCTGCGTAATCTAGCTCCAATGATGATGAAAATTCATCAAATGTCGCAAGTAAATGGGTATAAAAGTGTGTAATCTAACCCAAATCAAACCTCACACTTGAACGTTTGCTTGTCCCCAAGCAAATCTGCTCTAACCAGTACAACTTGTACGACAAAAACAATGGTATGCACTATCAATCATTGTTGGTGGCTCGAGAATAATCTAAGTTGGGTAAACTTACTTGCATCTCTTTGTGCCAAGCACACTCTCAGTTGAGGACCTTGTCAATTAAGAAGGTCTAGAATCTTCCGTGTGCACTGGAGGACTCATAGAAATCATTGAAAATCCAAGGAATCCATGGTGGTGATCTCACTTTTCAAAAGAGGACTCAAACTTAAACTTGCCATGCACGACACCACTTATCAATTTTGCAAATAAAGGCATCTCTCCCTGGTGACCAAGAGTGAAAGAAACATTGCCTCCTCTATCAAGGCCCCATGTGGGAAGATGATGGTCGGATTCATTGCCCGAGCACTTCTTCCCAACCTGCACTTCTATGTCTCAAAGATAAACGTGTTGCCACACATGTCGTGTGCAAACAAGAGTCGAGGTCTCGCGACTCGCTAAAATAGACTTTGTTTCTTGCTATACGATTCCGTGAGTAGGAGAGGTGTTTGGGGGATGGAAGGTAGTGAAAGATGATCGAGATGGTAGAAAGCTATCTGAACCCCAAACACATCCTCAATGACACTCCGAACTGAGAGAAGAGCCCTTTGACAGCTCAACTCAAAGACTATGCATGGTTGCTTCTCACGTGAGAACCTCAATTTTTAAAAAAAAAAAATCATAGTGGAAAACTTTTTGCAAACCATTAAGGAGTCCTACTTGGGAACTCTCACACACATGTCCTAACCTCCATACAAACACTTTCACACGACCAAGAGGTAATTGAAGTAAAGCCACTCATTATCAAGGATTCTCATGGCACCTCACTATTACCTATAGTTCACACCACCAATCATCAAACAACTCCAAGTACACTAAGCAAGATAATGTTAGAGACAATTGTGATTGGAACCCCTGATATTTTTAATTTAAGCAATAATCTAGGTTCCAAACAAATCTCAATATGGGCCATTCATCATTCATTCATACACAAGTGATTGCAACTCTCAAATTGTAGGAATTTGGCAATCACAAGGCTCCAACACATTCAAATCGTCCATTC